TTTCGGCCCACTGCAAGGCGCATTCCTCGATGCACGTACGCCTCCGGCGCCAGGAGGCGTCTGTAAGATTCGGGGGTGGACAGACCTCCTACCCTGACACGTCGATTATCGAATTGCCCGCTCTCGGTTCACGGAAGGGCGTCGCGGCCGTCATTTTTGCGGGTCCAGGCCCGTCGGTTTCGGTCCCAGGACGTTGTCACTAAAGGGTGGTTTACAGTGAGCGGCTTGAATATGGAACACTCACTTTTCAAAAGGGGCTCGGTCGTTCCTTAGGTTTGCATGCGTTATTTACAGCTCCTCCTTGCGCTATTTGTTATCTATCGTTCCTTATGCGTTATTCCTTGGGAGAAAAAGGGGCTTCGTTCCTTCTTTAATCGCTTCGCTCATGCCGCCGGCCCTGGAGCCCCCAGGGGCCGCTCCGCGCGCGCGAACTAGAAATATTGTTAACAAGTTACCGGAGATCTTAGCACGCCTCTGGCCCGTTGGGCTTCGTTCCTTATTTATCGTTCCTTAGGTCAGGCCGATGACTGTGCTGGAGGGAGGTCTGCCCACCGCCGAAAAGTCCGGTGCGCGGGAGGATGCCCCCCTGCCTCTGCCGAGCCCCCTCGGTCGGCCGACCCGCGGGGGGGGGGGGGGCGTGCGGCCACGGGCGGCGTCCGGGGCCGCAGGCCCCCGACGACGACGACGACGGCGACGACGACGACGGCGACGACGGCGAAGACGACGGCGACGGCGACGACGACGACGACGACGACGACGGCGGCGACGGCGACGACGACGACGGCGACGACGGCGGTTTCCGACGACGGCGACGACGACGGCGACGACGACGACGACGGCGGCGACGACGACGACGACGGCGGCGGCGGCGACGACGGCGACGATGGTGACGATGATGCTGACCATGGCATTGAGGAGTCTGACGATGATGATAACGATTGTGCCGGGAGGCCAGGACAGACCGACCAGGACGTTCACAGGTTTGGGAAACGGCACCGTTCCCTGCAAGGTCGGATTGCGTCGTCCAGTGTGTTTCTGTTGGGGGGGTTGCACTTCAGGGTTCGGGTCTCTGTCTGGGTTCAGGAGGGCCCTCGCAGGCTTTGATGGTTTATGCCCAGGTTTTATTCCTGGCGTGCTGCAGTGCCGTGGTTGGTTTTTTCCCATGCTGCCGTTTGAACAAATTGGTGGCGAGGTACGGTGGCTACATGTTGGACCATGGACCCTGTGTTCACCGTAACCGTCTAGCTTTCGCGCCGAAAGCCGCAGGACACCGCCGAAGACCGCCAGAAACCGACGAACACCGCCGAAAACCGCCCGGAAATCGCAGAAAAACGCCAGAAGAATGCCAAGGACCGCCGGAAGACCGCCAAAGGCAGATGGGCAACACCAGGCGACGACATCTATACATGTCCACTGCTCCCTGGCCATGCCCATCTTGAACCCAGGAGCTGTGTAGACGCCCTCCTGGCCAAGCTAGGAGGGCGTGGCCTATGCACCGCTGCTGGGTTGAGGATGGGACCTGGCCAGGGAGCAGCGGATATGTATAGACTTCGCCGCCCCATGACAAGGACCCCATGGTCGAAGGATTACAGCCGGGGCCCTGAAGAAGGAACCCTTTTCGTTGGGGAGGGGCTCGGTGTTCCTTGATTGTTCTACAGTTTGCCTTCTGTTTTCCTGAGGTTTTCCATGGGACATCGAAGTTCAACTTATTGGAGAAAGGGTCCTCGTTCCTTATTTAGGGTTCCTTAGGTCAACGCCCCGACTGTACATGGCGTTGGATGTCCCAGTCGCGCCCCCGGGGTTCACGGGGCCCCTTGGGGCCGCCTCGCTGTCTGCCACGGCCTGCGCGGCCCCCCATGCGGACCGGGCCGCTCGCTCTCCGCTCCGGGCCCCCCCCCCCCCCCGCCGCGGCGCGCCCGCCGCTTGCTGCTGCGCCCCGTTCCCCCAGGAATTTCCCGAGGTTTCGACGCCGCTGCGGGCGAGATCTCTATCCTGATGAGCCTGTTTTCCACCACCACCACCACCACCACCAGCAGTTGGAGGGAGGAAGGAGGAGGGCGAGGAGGAGGAGGGCGAGGAGGAGGAGGAGGAGGAGAAGGAGGAGGAGGACCCCCCCCATCCAACTTATGGTGGTGGTGGTGGAAAACACGCCCATCATATCCGTACCCGGTGCGTCTGGGACCTTCTCGGGAGGGGCGCCACGCGGCCGAAGCGCGCCGGAGGAGGACGGGGCCTCTGGGGTCCCGGCTGCTATATCCATCTCTTCAGAGTGCGCCTCGGATTCCTGGGGAGGGGAGCCCGAAACTCACCACCCACCAAACCACCCCAACCCAACCCGAAGGCTCAGATTTACCCTCGATTTCCAGTGGGGGGGGGGTCGGGACACATCGAAAAAACACGTGTGGAACCCTTACCCCCCCCAACCCGAAATTCAGGTCTTCGGGTTGGGTTGGGGTGGTCTGGTAGGTAGTCAGAAACTCTAAGCTGCAGCGGACATAGGCACACGTCTCGCCCGCAGCCGCGGTCCTTCTTTCATTGTGTGGGCCACAGGATTCTGGGCCGCGCCCGAGGGCCTGAAACTTCGTGACGGACTGACTTGTTTCGGCCCTGAGATTCAGAGCGCGACTCCAGAGGAAGGAGTTGTGCAACGACATCTTATTGTCAGAGAAGCGTTGGATGTTTGTATCCCTTCCCCACTCCTTTCCTCCAACTTCTCTTTGTTTTGAATCCATGGGGCGGGCCATGGACAACCCGCGGCCATTGCCAGGATTTTAAGTTTTCCCTTGTCTCTGGGACTGGGTGGGGAGCAGCAGGAGGAGGACATTGGAAAGAGAAGAGGACGCTGACGAGGAGAATGAGGAGGACGAGCTGCAGAATCCTGAGGTCTGACAGAAACAAGAGGATTAGCATGAGGAAAGGACAAGGATGAGGAGGAGGAGGAGGGCCTGGCGGACCCTGATGATTCTGAGGGGGAGGCGATGCCGCTACCCACTCGCAAGGCATAGCGTTTCGTTGGGGACGCCGCAGCGCGAGACACGCTGTGCAACACCTCCTGACCATAGCTCCTCTGCCCCCACGCCCCGAGTGAGGCCTGGGCGGTCTCGGTAGCGACCCCTGGGAGCCTTGAGAGTGTCCCCGCATCTCCGCCTCCAGAGTGCATTGGCGTGCGCTCGCGTCTGGCAATCGGTGCTGAGACGCCGAGGCGGCGCTGGTTTGGCGCCCACTGGCGCCGACCAGCGCGTCGGTTCCTGCAACGCGGATTCGCAGGAGCCAGCAAGCTGGCACGGGAGGTCCCCATGAGTTGCCATGAAAGGCGACGGGGCGTAACATCGGGCGTGTGCGACGGGGCGAGGTGTCTGAGGAGGACCGGCAGGGGCACGTCCGGTCGAGACATTGGCGGCCTTCCCTGGCGCTTCTCGTCCTCGTCGCGCCCCTTCGGGGAGCCTCGTTGCCACGGGGTGCGACACGGGCCCGGAGGCATCCCGAGCGGGGTCTGGGGATCGATGCGTAGCGACCGTGCGCCGGGCGGGAGGGCCTCCGTTGGCTCAGCTGGCCTTTGTCCCGAAATGGAAAGCGATGTTCTTGACATCGCTCGGACGTGCGTTTTTTTTGGTCGGCGAGGATGATCGAGCAGCATCCCGGATCATCTTGCGAACAATACGCGCGCGAAACCGACGAATGCAAGGTGCAAGGGGGATGGACGCCTGAGCGATGGCAAGTTCTGGAGAGCCGAGATGGCTACGGAAAGTCTGGGGATGGAGACCAGCAGTCGTTCCTGTCCATTTGGGGCAGGGCTCGTTGTCGGCATCTCCGTGGACGTTTGTCTGTCCGAGAAGAGGCGCCTGCCCACGGTGCCCGCTGTCGGTGTTCGACGGCGTTTGCTGCTGGGCATCGTGCCCATGTTCACAGGCGGTCGGCGTGAGACCTTCGCATAGAGTCACGGCGGCATGTCTTTCTACAGGAGGAATATCCAAGAATAATGAAAACATAGTATAGCGACGATTTCTCGCGCTCCTTTGATTATGTCCGAGCATTTTCTTTGGGTGGAGGGCAAAGGGTGAAATCTGAAATGCCGTCCCGATGGGTTTTCGAGGCTTGACTCTTCGAGAGGTGGATCACAAGACGGATCGGTTTTCGAGGTGCAGAAGCCCAAGTGGATTTCACCCTGAGCCCTCCACCCTAAGAACATGCTCAGTATGTGTGCTGACCATGATTTGACGGTCATTTCATTTGCCTAATCCGCCTGTAGGAGGATATGCATGCCCGACCTGAGCAAACATATCGGCGGCGAGCCCGGGGGGGAAGGTGCGGAGGACAAGGCCTCCTCAGAGGGCTCGGAAGTCCCCCGGCCTTCTGATAAGTTGTCTACGCCTTCCCCGCAGACGCAGAAAATCAGAGCCCCGAATCATCAGGGGTAACTCGGGTCAGGGTCAACTCGGGTTCGTTTTTCGGGAATCCGAACCCGAGTTGCCCTGGGCCCGAGTTGCCCCGGATAATTCGGGCGTCCAGAGCCCCACATCATCAGGGATAATTCGGGTCAGGGCTAATTCGGGTTCCTTTTTCGGGGATCCGAACCCGAGTCACCCCGGACCCGAGTCACCCCGGGTAACTCGGGCGCCCAAGAACACTTGTCAGAAGGCGCGAGGGCTTCTGAGAAGACCTTCTCCTTCTCGCTTCCCCCCCTCTCGCTCGCCGCCGAATACAGTCGGGGCGTTGACCTAAGGAACCCTAAATAAGGAACGAGACCACTTTTTTCCATGAGTGAAACTTCGATTTCCCATCGAAAACATAAGGAAAACCTGAGGCAAGCTGTGAAACAGTCAAGGAACACCGAGCCCCTCCCAAACGAAAAGGGTTCCTTCTTTAGCGCCCCGACTGTAGAGAACGTCGGGGCCCGTGCTGTTTCGGGGCGTCCTCTTGGCAGCTCCTCCGGTGCCCCCCCCTGGCCTGCCTCCGTCCACGGCCGCGCTCCGGCTGCCCTCCCTCTCTCCCGCCGGGAGGTGATGCTGCTCCACGAGATCGCAGAGGCCCTTTGGTGTGGGACGGAAGGGCGCTGAGATTCGGAGGAGGAGAAGGTGCCCATACCTTTACCTTTTCCTAGCTTTTTCCTGCTTTTGGGGGCCTTGCCGGTTTCTAGTGTTTTCCTAGTGTTTTCCTAGTGTTTTCCTTACCTTTTCCTAGTGTTGTCCTAGTGTTTTCCTAGTGTTTTCCTTACCTTTTCCTAGTGGATAACATAACCTTGCCGGTTGTGCAGGCAGGTCCGAGGTGGCGGGCGCTGGCATATGCAGGGCTGCCCACAGCGCGAAGGTTATAGGTTATCGGCCGGCCTCCTCCTCCCCCCCCCGGGATAACCCGGGGTATCGCCGATTCAAAAATAGCGGTCTCAAGGGCGCTGAGATTCGGAGGAGGAGAAGGTGCCCATACTTTTACCTTTTCCTAGTGTTTTTCTGCTTTCTGGGGCCTCCTGCGACATCCTCGTCGCCACCGCTGGATTCGCCTCGCAACCCTGGTCAGAACGCACCCCGGGAGAGGTCCGGTGAGTAGCGGTATCGGCACCTTTTGGTTTCGCCTTCGCCAGTAGAAGTGCGCTTCGATGAGGAGACAATCCTGACGGCGACGGCGATTCTGATGACTGCGACGACGATCACGAGACGGCATATGATGACGAGATGTTGCCCGTCCTGCATCAGGGCTGAGCGAAATGCAGACGCAGAAGCAGCAGCGATGACCTCCGCATGTTTTAGATTGCACGAGTTGGCGTCTTGTGGGGTGCACCGTGCTGGCGATAGGTGACGCCATCCATTGACAGCCTCGGCAAGGCATAACAATCCTCGTCCTCCTGCTGCCAGTCGTCTCTTGTTCTTCCTTCTCCCACTTCCTGTCCCCCTTCACCGACCCTCTGCCCTTGTCTCCTGAATCCTCCCTCAGCCTTCTGGACATGTTCTTCTTTTTCCTCCTCCCCCCCTCGTCTTTGTCCTCCTCCCCTCCAGCGCTGGCAGTCGGTGTTCTTGTTGTATCTGACGTGACGTGACAGCTGTCGCCGTAGCTGGATTAGGATCGGCGGCGAGCGAGGAGGAATTCAGGAGGAGAAGGCCTTCTCAGAGGGCTCGGAAGTCCCCTGGCTTTCTGAGAGGTTTCCCAAGCCTTCCCCAAAGACACAGAAAACTTCTCAGAAGGCGCGCGGGCTTCTGAGAAGTCCTGCCGATTTCTAAGAAGGCCTTCTCCTTCTCGCTTGCCCTCCTCGCTCGCCGCCGAATAGTGAGACTGCCCAAGCGCCGCTCGGCCGACCCTGCGACAGACTCTTCGCTTGCCCCCGAGGGGACCGTCCTGGCACCGGAGCAGACACGCAGCAGTCCGCCTTGCCTCGCCCCTTCCGCCGCCTGCTTCTGGGCAAGCCTCGGTGCGACGAGGAAGGGACGGGGCTGCCCCGCCGCCGCCTCGTTTCGCTTCCCAGAGATCCGACGCTACGACAAAATTGGAGCGGCGGGAGTTTGACCGTTTTCGGCCTCCAGGGGGCCCTCACCGGGCCTCGGGAGCGTCAAAAAACCACTCGGGTCGAACAATCGGCCCCAGGGAAGTGGTCCAGACCTCCGGGGCGCACGCATCGAAACATTGGAGCGGCTGGATGTCTGGGTTCGTCGTCGTCCAGCTCAAGCGTAGCCCACCTCTCCACGAGCCGATTTCAACCAGACGCCCCCTCTCCGTGTGCGCAAGGCGCGACGTCGCCCTTCTCTGGCCGGCGCGGGGCGAGAGAGGCGATGGGGGCGAGGAAAGCAGACGGCGTTTGTCCTCCACGGAACGCCTCCACGGGCGTGGAATGCCTCAACGGGCGTGCCAGGCGGCTGCAGGCCGCTGTCGGGCGGGGTCAGGACGAGGATAAGTCCGTTCCAGAGCAGTCCGGACCGCTCTTAGAGCGTGCTGCAAGGCTCCGAGAGGGCCGCGGCGCCCGAGGCCTCCAGCGCCGCCGGTCTCAGAGATGCTCGACGTGTCCTCACTCTCCCGATGGTCTCCCCGTCTTCGCTTCGTCGTACGCTGAGTTGCGCGCGCCCGCCTGGCCCGCCTGGCCTGCCGCCGCCCTGCTGCGTGAGGGTCGGCTGGCCCTGCACTTTGGCGCGTTCTGTGCTGAACGCAGCTGTAGGTTCGGCAGTTCAGACACGTGGTCTCCTGGCTGTGCGGGCGTCCGTGTGGATTCATTCCCCAGCCGCGTGCGGTCAAAAAGTGTGTGTGTGTGTGTCTCGCCGGAGCAGGAACTCTGCCAAGCCGCCGACGCAAAAAGTGTGTGTGTGTGTGTGTGGTTGTGCGTGTGCGTGCTCGTGCGTGCGAGCGTGCGTGCGTGTGCGTGTGCGTGCGCGTGCGTGTGCGTGTGCGTACGCGTGTGCGTGCGTGCGCGCGCGTGCGCGTGCGTGCGTGGTGGTGGCCTCCTCGCAGCAGCGGCGCTCCGCCGAATTGGGTCCCGTGCGGTGGCGCCGGCCCCGCCTCGCGGCCGCGGGGGGGCGGGCGGCCGCCGCGGGCGGCGCGCCTCTACCCCCCGCCCTGCTGCGGCCCGAGCGCCGGGGAGCCGACGGTCAAAGCTCAGGAGGGAAAAAAACACACAGACACAATTAATCCTCCATTCCCAGAAAATATGGGAAAATATGGGAAGTGGGGGGGAAGACAGAAGCCCAGAAAACATGAGAAAATATGGGGATTTTTTCATTTGTGTGTATTTATTTGTGTGTCCTAATTTCCCTTTAAAAGCGTGCACGGAGGGCACCAGCCTTGGAGTCGGGCGCGTCTTTCCACGGCCCCGCTTGCGATTAATGAGGACCTCCCCCCGAGAAGGCCGGCCCAGCGTTTCGGACCCAACTTTCCGGAAAGCCGGATATCAGCTTCTTCGGGGGACAGTCCCCTATGGGGATTGGCAGCCTCCTGTTCCGGCTCGCACCGGTTCGGTTTCCCCCCCCAAAAAAACAATTCCGCTTCGGGCGGAACTAGACATGAAGAGTGTACGGTCCTGCCAGGACCGTACAAAAGCTGGCCCAGCGCTTCCTTCTGAAACTTCTGAAAAGATGGCCCAGCTTTCTTAATTGATGAATTCCTTATTCATGTTCTTGACTGTACAGGCGGAATCTTCAAAATAGTCAAACATTGTCTGGGGACGATCTGTTTTTCGATTGCACGTGGGCTCTGTTTAAACATTTTTGGATCTGCTTCAGCATTCTTCCAAAATCTGCCTGTAGGTGGACATGGCCGATCTAACGCTTGCCCTTGGAGGCCGAAATTGGGATTTTTTGGCGGCGGGCGTCTCCTGAAAACGGCACAAGGCGGGGCCGTAGAGGCAGGGTCACAAGGGTACCCTGGAGGCTCCAATAGGGCTCCGACAGACGGCCAGGTCGATCAGAAGCATGTAATGTGTTTGGCTTCTTCGCCTTTGATTGGCTTCTGAGGCTTCATGGTGGCTCGAAGGTTGCTCAGGATAGCTCCGAGTGGAGCGCAGAACAGCTCCAAGATGGCTCCGAGGACATCCTGGAGCGTCCCCCCCAGCACCCCAAGAAGGCAGCCCCCGAGCGGGACCCGAGAGGGCCCAAGAGCAGCGAACAATTAGAAATGAGAGGATCTTGCCCCCCCCCCAAAAAAAACAATGAATTTTCGAAGAATTAGAAATGAACAATGTGTACAGTTGTGCATCGTAGAAGCGATGCCGTCTTGTTGTCGTCTTGACGAGTTCTACGGGGCTGAGCACACGGCCGCCCGTGCGCCACACATCATCGGGCGCTCCCGGGAGTGCGTCGGCGCGCGCTGGACGAGCCCTGGGAAAGACAGACGGTGCCAAGAGTGCCCACAAGACGGGCCACAGCGGACCCGAGAGACCCCCAGCGCAGTCCCAAGGGGCACCGAGTCGTCCCAAGATCGCTCCAAGATTCCCGATGTGGCCTCCAGACGGCCCAGAAGGGCCCCCTACAGTCTGCAGGCGCCCCAAGAGGGCCACGCAAGGCCAAAATCACAGATGTCCTGTAGTTTGCTTCAGAGTATTCAGAGATGTTAGCGTTCTCGTCTTTTCGAGCTTCTGACGTGCCAAGGACGCCCAAGAGGCCCCCAAGATCGGCCCAAGACGGCCCAAGAGGCCGCCAAGATGGCCCCGAGACGGCCCAAGATGCCACAAAGAGGCGGCCCACGAAGGACCCAAGACTGCCCAAGAGGGCCCAGGACGGCTAACGAGGGCCCCAAGAGGGGGCGCGCGAACTGACATTTCGAGCCCCCCCGCCCCCCAAATGACTCCCAAGACCGCTAGCAGGACCCAAGAGGCCCCCAGAAGCCCCCAAGGAGCCCCAAGGAGGCCCCCCAGAGCCCTCTGTTGGTTAAACCAAACGGTACTGATGCCGCCACTCCCCGGACCTCTCCTGGGGTGCGTTCTGACCAGGTTGTCGAGGCGAGTCCAGCGGTGGCGACGAGGGCCTCCCAGGAGGCCCAGAAAGGGTCAAACGAGGCAAGGGTGATTAGCAATATCGGTACCTTTCCCTCCTCTGATCTATTTGAGAGGCATCCGACCTCGGGAGACCCAGGAGACCATTTTACGTTTTCCAGGGGCATCGGGTCCGCGACCCAGGCAGGCCTCGGGGCGGGATGGGACGAAGGCCACTGGATCCGCCGCCCCCTGTGCTTGCCACAGGGGTGCACGGCGTGCCAGAAGTTACGTGCTGGGTGCTCTGACAAGTTCAGGGATCCACCCGAACGATGGTTTTCGTTATCGTTGCGTGTTCGTTTTCCCTCGTGTTGTCTTCGATCCGCCTTTGCTGCAATACGACGTCGAATCGAAAACGGCCCACTAAATTCGGGGGTGGACAGAACCCCCAACAGTGATACGTCGATTAGTGAATTGTCCGTTTTCGGTTCTCGAGGGGGCGCCGCGACCGTTACTTCCAGGCTTACGCCCGCCAGGTTTGGGCCTCGGGTCGTTTTCGCTAAACCACGTTTTACTGAAGGGAGGTCTGCCCATCCCCGATGAATCGCCATAGTGCAGTTTAAGTCGACCCTTGTAATCACCACCCACCAAACCACCCCAACCCAACCCGAAGGCCAAAATTTATCCTCGATTTCCAGTGGGGGGGGGTCGGGGAACATTGAAAAAACACATGGAACCCGTACCCCCCCCAACCCGAAATTCGGGTCAGATTCGGGTCTTCGGGTTGGGTTGGGGTGGTCTGGTAGGTAGTCGTAAACGTTCCCAATGAGGTCTCGGGGACAGGCGTTCGGCGGTCGGAGGCCCGAATATGCGAGGACCATCTGCCTTGCAGCTGGTCGGAGGTGGATAGACCTCCTACCCTGACGCGTCGATCAGTGAATGGGCCGTTGTTAGCGAGAGGGCGCCGCGGCTGTATTTTGCGGATCTAGGTCCGTCAGTTTCGGTCCTAGGCTGTTTCCAATAAAGGGAGGTTTACTAAAGGGAGGTTTGTCCACTGCCGAACTAGGCCATCTTGGGGCCATCCTGGGGCCATCCTGGGCCATCTTGGAAGCATCTTGAGCGATCTTGGAGGCCGTTTAGCGCTACGACCGATGCAGTTTGGGAAGAACTTCGGGCCAGCATGGGGCCTGGTGCGCATTGACCCGCCCTCTTGGCGCGCTCTTCGAGGCTTTTGGCGCGCTTTGGGCGCTCTTGGGCCTACTTCGGCCACAGTGACGTCCGCGGACCCCCCAAGGCCGCCCTCGTTCTGTAGCCTGCCACCAGTTGTTCTATCCTGGGCCTCTTCCCGGCCACTAGGGGGCCAGGAACAATTAGAAACGAGCACAATTTGAAGTGAGCACGATTAGAAATGAACGACGTGTATGAGCCTTGGGGCACTCCAGGGTGCGCTGAAGGCACGGACCTTTTTTGGCGTGCGGCGGTTTCCAGGCGGCGGGTGGATGAATTACGCTGCACGCTGCCATCACACTCACGGGCTCAAAATGGCGCGTGGGGGAGTGCCGGAGGTGCTGAAGCTGATCGAGGCGCCTTGTTTCCAGCAGTTGCTGCCGCTCCTGGTGAGGCACATGGTGCGTTTGCTAGGAGGGGCCGGGGCAGTCCGCGGCAGTAGGAGGAGGAGGAGGAGGAGGAGGAGGTGAAGGAGGAGGAGGAGGACGAGGAGTTGGAGAAGGAGGAAGCGAGAAGAGGAGGAGGAGGAGGAGGCGAGACGAGAGACGGAGGTAAGGAGGAGGAGGAAAAGGAGGAGGAGGAGGAGGAGGAGGAAGTGGAGGGGGATCGATCGATCGATCGAGCTCTGGGGCCGAGGTCGGGGGGGTGACGCCTACTCTAAAGTGAATTCGAGGAGGAGCGGGAGGAGGACGAGGAAGAGGAGGAGGAGGAGCAGCAGGAGGAGGAGAAGGAGGAAGAGCAAAATAAGGAGGAGGGGGAGCGGGGGGAGGAGGAGGAAGATGTTTTAGGACTAGTCCTCTTCACCGCCGACGGCCCCAGGGGATGCGTTCGCATACGCCCACCGCTCCCATGCTGGCACACCCCATCACACGTTTCGTGGCCACATATGGAGCTTCACCGAACTGCACATTCTTCACTGAACTCCATGTGCCATGTTGGCACACCTTCACCGCGCGCACTCTTTCGCGGCCCCACATGGAGCTCCACCGACCGGCCCCAGTGGCTGCGTTCGCATGCGCCCGTCGCACCCATTTCTGGCATTCCCCTCGCACGCTGCGTGGCCCCATATGGAGCTCCACCGACGGCACCAGCGGCTGCGTTCGCATGCGCCCACCGCGCCCATTCTGGTACACCCTCACACGCTTCGTGGCCCCATGAGGAGCTCCATCGACGGCCCCACGAGCTGCGTTCGCACGCGTCCACTGCACCCCATTGGACATACCCATCACACGCTTCATGGCCCCACAGGGAGCTCCACGGACGGCCCCGGTGGCTGCTTTTGCACGCGCCACCGCACCCGTTTTGGCACACCCCTCACGCGTTGAGTGGCCTTATAGGGAGCTCCTCCGAATGCGGTGCATACAACGACGGTGTTCACAACTGCACATGTTTGGGCTTTTCGCCACGCGGATTACGCTTGTACCGCTCTGGTGCGTTAGGCACCCACGCGTTTTCACGTTTGTCCCGCCTTGGGGCGTTAGGCACCCACGCGTTTTCAGGCTTGTCCCGCTGTGGGGCGCACCCATGTGTGTTCAAGCTTGTCCCGCTCTGGGGCGTTAGGCACCCACGTGTTGTCACGCTTGTCCCGCCGTGGGGCTTTAGGAACCCACGCGTTTTCACACATGTCCCGCTCTGGGGCGCTAGGGACCCATGTGGTTTCACGCTTGTCCCGCTTTGCGGCGTTAGGAAGCCATGTGCTCTCACGCCTGTCCCGCGGTGGATTAGGAACCCATGTGTTTTTACGTTTGCCATGCCCCGGGGCGTTAGGAACCCATGTGCTTCACGCTTTTCCCCCTCTGGGGCGTTCGCTAGGGCAATTTCCGGGAATATGCAAAGCGCAAAAGGATTGGAGCCCCCACGAGAGGAACAATGCATAGGACAACGAAGCGTTTCGCTCGATCCGCAACAAACGAACATGTTGAGTTTACCATGTGTTCAATCGATCGGAATTTCAGAAACCAGCGTTTCGCTCGGGATATCCTCAATGTTTAATCCGCCGACCCTCATAGACCTCACCATTTTCAGCGGCACCGTAACGGGTACTCAGTAACGGGTATTTTGGAAAATTCCTGGAACTTGTCATTTTAGGGTGTCTTTTTCTGGCATCGCAGCGCACCCGTTAGTGGAGTCCCCGTTCGAGGGGCGCTCACATTTCTCAGGGGAGAACTCCGCCGGCCGTCCTCGAACGTGGCACCGGGACAGATGGCCCACCTGAAAGAGGCCCCTGGGCCTGCGCCCTGTCCAGGGATAAACGAGCTCGAGGAGGGCCTTGGGCCGCCTGGGCGGAGGAAGACCACCACGTCGTCTGCACGGGCGCGGGCGCGTAAGCTGCCCGCGTCAGGGACAGATTGCCACCCTCGAAGAGAACACTGGGCCTGCGCCCACTCCGGGGATAGGCGAGCTACATGCAGTCGGCCCTGATGAGCAGGTCGACCCCGCCAAATCAAGGGTACCCTCGTGTCCTGTGTCTCGCGACCAGTGCCTCCCACATTCCTGTGGCAATGTGGCCCTCGGAAGGGTCTTGTGTCCTCTCGCGTGTCCTGCCCAATCAAGTCCGACTGTAGAGGAGGGCCTTGGGCCACCTGGGCGAAGGAAGATCGTCTGGGGTCGTCCGCACGGGCGTTGGCGCGCCGGCTGCCCGCGCCTGGTCGCGCGCAGACGCCAGCTCTTCACCACGCGGCGTGCCACGCCGTCGGCCCCCGGCAAGCCGCGGCGTGAGGTCGCTGTATGCGACTGGTCTTTTTTCGTTGTCCAGGGCGCCGGGAGGACGCGGAGGACGAGGAGGAGGACGAGGAGGAGGAGGAGGAGGAGGAGGAGGAGGAGGAGGACGACGAGGACGAGGACGAGGACGACGAGGAGGAGGAGGAGGAGGAGGAGGAGGAGGAGGAGGAGGAAGAGGAGGAGGAGCAAGGGGGAAGGGGGAGGACCGCAGCGCCTCTCGAGCGTCTCCCGCCGGACCGGCGGTCGCGCCAGCGCGACCGGCGGTCGCGCTGGCGCGCGCCCGACGGACTACGCCGAGGCGCCCTCACGCCACGAAGGCGGAGAGGGCAAGGTTGAAGAAAGTGCGGAGGAAGACCCACTCGCAGAGGAAGAGGGTCAGGGGCGCGTCGACGAGGAGCGCCAGCATGAAGTAGGAGAGCAACACGGAACCGCAGGCGAAGCCAGTGACGGGGAGGACGTAGAAGCCCGCCCTCCTTCGTGTGACCCACAACCCCGAAGCATCGCTCAACCAGTGAGGGAACGCCGATGGATAGCAAGCACCTCATACCGGAGAAAGATGCTGCCACTCGCTCCGTGGATGGAAAGTCATAGAGCAACCTGCAAACGGGCACGGGGGGTCCCAATCGACAGGGGCACCATGTTCTTCTGTATGGCCGAAGCCCCCCACCATGAAGTCGACGCTGCGCACTGCGCCGCACAGGCCCCAGGGCATGGTGGAGAGGCGAGGGCGGCCATGCCGCTTGCCAGGGCCAGATGTCAACAAACGGCCACTGACTTTGACCCTCATGCCAGTGTGTAGAATCTTGGTAGCAGCAGTTGCATCGTGAGCCTCGCCATGTGTTCGGTTCACGGTCATCGCCCCGCTAGCGTCGCCATGGGCTCGTCTAGTTGGGTGCGGTTTGTCATCTTGCTTTTGTCAGCACTGGCATCGCTTCGACCAGTGAGACTGCACGAACTGTCGTGGATCTCGTCGACGTCCACACGATGAGCCTTGGAGCTCGCGTCAACCGTCACCCCGAACGGATCCCAGGTGCTTCCAGCAGCGGTGCCGCCCGACCCCTGCCCCGTGACCCGAGCGCTCACGAAAGCACAGGCAGGCGGCCGTGCGGCAGGCCTGATCGGCAAGACCGCCGACTCAGGCGTGGCCCTCGGAGTGCGCGCGCCCTTGAGGTCGATCGGTGTGGCATTCGAAACGGGTTCCACCTTGGCGGTTGCATCATGGACGCACGCCCTTTCAGTCCCCGCGCTAGCCGTGGGCCCGAATACGCCAGTGAACAAACCGGTGACCTTCGACTCGCACATCGTCTCTGGGACGTCTGCGGCGGTTGCGCCGTGGGCGCGCGCTCCTTCGGTCAAGCTCGCGTCAACGCGCAGCGGTGAGGAGCCCGCAGAGAGGGGTGCACCCATGTTTGAACCATCGCAGGGGACCTCGAGAGAAGATACAGCAACATCACACCTGGCCGCAGCAGCTCGGCTAGAGGTCACTGGGGAGGAGGGCGGCGCCGTGCGACTGGATTCAGAGACGGGGATCCGACGCTCATGGTGCGTGGATCGTTCGAGACCCCCTACCTCTTCAGGCTCAGGCGCCCCTATCTCTCGGCGTCGGCGCCGAGGAGCGCGCGCAGAAGCTCGATGGGGCAGTGGGATGAGCGGCGGCTCGTTGATGGCATGCACCTAGACGTGGTGAACGGGGACCGTTGACACAGAAGCGCAGCCCATCACGAACGGCGCGCTCGGCACCTGATGGCCCGCCAGGCGCGCGCAGGGCATGGGGGGCGTCCGACGATCTTACTGTGAAACCTTGGGCAGCATCTGGAAGAAAGACGTCGCCGCCCCTGTCCTTCACAGAGCACTTGCCAGCGTTATCCTTTTCAGTCACCGTGGCGCGGAGGGGCGCGCCGTGTGTGAACGCCTTTGGGCCCGTCTCGGTGGGTGCATCATGGGCGCGCGCGCCTGCTCTCGCTCCCCGATCACGGGCGCGACGCTCATGGATCGTCGGTCCGCGTTGTCCTTCATGATCTTCTTTACTTGTTGGAGAAGAGGGGGTGGCTTGAGCGGAAGCTCGTTGATCATGGGGGCCGCTTCTCGTGGAGGATGATGAAGTGGTAGGCCCGCCCCAGTGCCGCGCGCATTCGATCCACCTGGAACACGCGCGCCCTCAGAAAGGACGCGCGATCCTTGATGGCCCGCTCCTGGTGGGGGATCCGCCATTGGCGGATGGTCCGCTCCGCAGCTCGTGGGAGACCAGCGGGGCGCGGGGGAAGCGCGACTGGTGGAAGTGCCGCGACTGGTGATTGAAGATGACCTGCGAGCAGTTGACGCGCCCCAGCGTCTTGCCCACGCAGCCCACCTCGATCAGCATGCGCGCCAACCTGGAGACCCGCGTCTCGTGGAGCTGCATCCTCGCGCGGTGGGCGGACATCTCGTGGGCGACGCGCGTCTCGCGGAAGTGCAGTGCCACCACCGCGCCCGCGACAACGCGCGCCATCAGCGCCTTTGCGCAGGGCGACTTGGAGGGCGCGGCCCAGGCGAGAGGGCGCCTGACCACGATGTTCCAAGATCGCATCAAAGGCAGTGAGCGGTGCTGCGCCGCCCGCCCCTGCGCCCGCCAGGCCTGGGCGCGGCGCTCGGCGGCGGTGCGATTAGTGCGGCGGCGGCGCCCCGCCCGCCCGCCCCGCGACGGCCTCTCCATCGCGCGGCGAGGCGAGGAAGGGCGAAGGGGAACGGAACGGCACGGGGGGGGGGGGGGGGGGGGGGCAGGGCGGGGCGAGGGCGAGGGGCCCCTGGCGCGCGGCGCGCGCCCCTGGGGGCCTCGGACCCAGCTGGCGCGGGAGGAGGGGGGGGGGGGGGGGAGAAGAATAATCCGAATAGTAAGCATAAGCAGAATGATAATAAGAAGCGGAGGAGGAGGGGGAGGATGGGGGAGGAGGAGGGGGAGGAGGAGGAGGAGGAGGAGGAGGAGGAGGAGGAGGGGGGAGGGGGGGGGGGGGCAGGAGGAGGAGGGGGAGGGATGAGGAGGGAGGAGGAGGGAAGAGGCGGAGGAGGAAGAGGAGGAGGAGGGGAGGAGGAGGACGAGGGGGAGGAGAAGGGGGAGGCGGAGGAGGAGGAGGCAGAGGAGAGCCGGGCCCGCCCGCCCGCCCGCCCCTTTTTCCCCCCGGATAACCCGACCCCGTCGGTTGCGCAGGTCCGAAGGGGTGCGCAGTGCGCAATGACGGCGATGGCGACGATGGCGACGGCAGCATTGGCGACAACGTCGCAGGGCAGGGACGAGCTTGAGTAGGGGGGGCGACTACAGGATTGATTTACTCCAGCTGCTGGGTTTCACTGAGCTGATCTTATTTGTGTTGAGACCGTTCGGCTCCAGACAGGGAATCCAGGCGCTTCGCTATTCCGCATGGTAGCGGAGCCAGGTTATGCCCGCGGCCAGGCCCCCTCATTCTCGCGAGTGCAATGGCGACGGCGAAGGAAGTTCTGCGACGAGTCACAACTATGGAATGCGTAGTGGTCGAGCAGATCGATCGGACCGCTCAGCTTGAGCAACAGTTACGGGAGGCGAGCGCCAGAGCTGACGCAGAGGCTGCTCATCGGGGAGTTCAGGACGACCACCGAGCTTTTTACAGACCAGAGTCACTGGTCGACACGAAGCTGCTCGGGAAGCCAGGCAAGTTCTCCGGTGGGCTCGACGAGAATGCGAAGTGCAAAGGTGGAGTCGCGTGGGGGAACTGGAGTTTTGCGTCGGCTGCCCATTGCATGGCGGCGGGCCCGCATCTGGCAGAGCTGATGGGGGGCGCAGCCGCAGATGACGCGGAAGCCCACGCGCATGAAGATCAAGACGAAGAAGCCCAGATGGGGTAATGCCATTTTGCGTTCCATACTGGTGCTGACATTTAAACACAAGGCGCAGGGCATCGCGAAGAGCGTTCCCCCTGGGGAAGGACTGGAAGCATGGCGTTTACTGCGCGTGGAGTTCGAGCCCAAGGTACCGTCGAGGTCCTCAGGAATGCCAGATTCGATGCTGCGTCCGCGCGCGCAGGAGAACGATCCGATCAAGGGCATCGTGTCTTGAGAGACGCTCGCGCAGCGCTATGAGAAGCAGGCGGGGGGGGGGGGGGGGAAAGGTCATGTGGTCGATCAAGAAGTCGGTTCTCAGTGCACGGTTGTTTCCAATCAAGCTTCGAGAGCATCTGATGTTGAATGCGACGCGGTTCACTGCATACGCGCTGGCTCGGGCAGATGCGCTGAACTACCCGAGGTCAGAGCAGGCGGCGATGTTTCTCAATGGACCTGCTCCTATGGACCTAGATGCGCCAACGTTCGGCAAGCACGGCAACGACGGTAAAAGCAAGCTCAGCAAGGACAAGGGCAGAGGCACGGGCTACGACAACCACTCGGCGAGCACGCCGCGCAAGTACTGCGGGAAGAAAGGGCGCAAAATGATGGGGCGCAGGAAGGCAGCGCAGGGCATGAAAGATGGTAAGCTCACGAAAGTGGAGCTTCGAAATATCAGCAATGGCAAGGTTAAGGGTGGGAAGGACAAGCAGGACAAGCAGGGCAAGCCGAAGGCCGCCGAAGGATCAGGGCATGCAGTACTTAGGGTACGAGTGCGACGCCGAGGAGGGCTATGCCCCCGCCGTGACTGAGGGCGAGAATGAGGAGCCAGAGATTACATCGGACCAAGAGGGCGATCCGTTCCTAGAGAACATGCAGGAGCCTGATGACGTTGACGACGGGAATGGTGAGAGCTACCTGAGCCCCATAGAATATTACGGGGAAGAGGCCAACGATGCGACCGGGGCGATGGTCAATTCATGTGCTGCGAGGGGCGTTTGCCCACCAGGGTTCGCACCACGAATGCCGCGAGAAGAAGCGGACGCACCGCCGCTGAGACAAGCAGATGGAACACAAATTTACGTGGATGGCTGCAAGACGGTTCACGCGCATGCGCCAGGGTCACGGCAGCCCATTCGAGGGCAATTCGTCGGCGCACAGGAACCCGACACCAACGCCAAGAAGCCACTAGAAAAGAAAACATTTCAGCCTCTGTTGAATGCCGTCGCCCGTGTCTTCGGGTTCGCGTGTCCAGAGTTGATGAATGCCAGCTCTGAGCGCGTGGGAACATAACGGGCCGTCTCCAGTTCCCCAAGTGAGCGTTAGGATTTCCATGGGCCGCGCGAGTCCCGCGGGCCGTGCGAACCCAGCCAGCCCCATGAACCCCACAAGTTCCACAAAGGGCTTCATGGGCCGAACGTGCGCCGCAGCGCGCATAAGCCCAACGCGCCGCGCTGGCCCAGCATGCCGCGCGGGCACCATTGGCTCCCTGACTCGTCAGGGCCACATCTGGTTTCTGAGCCTTGGAAACCCCGCGGGCCATGGGAGCCCCGTGGGCCTCAGGGGCGCCATGAGCTGCATGGGACGTTTCCCTATCATGGAAGCACCGTGGCTTGCAAAGTCGGAGAGCACTGCGAGCCATCTCAAGCTTTCTTGGCTTCGTTGGGTCGCTCAGCCCCCACGGGGAAATCGCTCCGAACTTTTCCAGTGGCGTCTTGGTGCTGGTGCCGGCTTTTTGTTCCTTGCAACATCAAAAAGCCGACACCAGCACCAAGACCCCCACTGGAACCGCGGCCCCATGTGCGAGCTGAACCCCTCGACGATTTCGGAAGGTTGCCACGGGCTGCGGGCTTGGGTCAAGAGGGGGCCACGGTCTTATGCCCAGGCCGCGACGGGCGGCCACCGCCCCCTTTCGCAGAGAGCGGCGGATTCGAACTCGTCGGGCCTTGGTGTCGGGCCAGACGAGGGTCAGGCATGCGACGCGGGCGGACATAGGGTGGGCGAGGGGTGGGGGGAATGAGAGGGGGGCAGGCGGGCGGGTGTAGGCGTGGTGGAGGGCGGCGGCGGGGGGAGTGAAGCTTCAGCCATGGGGGGTGCCGCAGCCTTCCCTCTTCTCTCCCTCTTCTCCCGAGAGCGCCCGCTAGTTTCGCTTCTCGCTTGCACTTGTTATTTCCTGCTTTCCCTCCTGCGTGCTGCGCGACGTCTCCGTTCCCCCGTCCTTTTCGCCCACTCTGCGATTCCTCAGGCCAGGGCGGGCTCGCGCTGGTCCAAAACGCAATTCGACATTTCGTGAAACAAATACTTTCTTGGTGCTGGTGTCGGCTTTGTGTTCTCCCAATTCGACGTGCGCGACGTTCGCAAGACGATCATTGCGGTCAGCGACCTGGCGAAAGGATCCCAAGGAGTTTGGTTCGACGAGAACGGGGGCGCGATAGTCAACCCAGAGGTGGGCAACAGGATCAATCATATGATCGACGAAGAGGCTCGCCACAGCCCGGAGAGCAAGCTGCTGAATGTAGCCTAGGGGGGAGGGGTCTACAGCTTCGACGTGGACACCAGGACGCCACGCCCGTTGGAGGGAGTCGAAGGCGAAGGACCTGCAGTCGGACATCCACAACCTGGGGAGGGCGAGGGGGCTCGGACCCCGAAGGTCAAGAAGGAAAGGTATCAGCCGACCGCGGAGGAGATCGCCACCCGCGAGAGGACGCACGCGCCGTGCCGCGTTTGGGCAGGGAGGAAGGCCGCCAGAAGACGAACCCAGAGAAGGCGCCGACGACACCGGTCATTCGTGTGGACTACTGGTTCGTGAACGCCGAGCTGGAGACAGAGATGGTCGACATCGCGGCGATGGTTCAGAAGCCCAGGGGCGCGGCGGCAGCGATTATTGTCATCCACAAAGGACCCAGCGAGTGCGTCAACCCTGCGGTGGAGTTCTACTTGCACGCAAGGTGCGCAGCGGACAACATGCTGAAGGGCGACCAAGAGCCATCCCTACAAGCGGCGATCACGGCGGTGAAGAACAGGCGGAAACACAGCACGCAGGTAGAGAAGGCACCTGACCTAAAAATTCTCATCGCAGCAACGGGGCGATCGAGAACGTTGTGGAGAGTGTGGAATCACTTCTACGGACCTTGCACTGCGAGTTGGAATTCACTTTGTAGGCGAAGATTGGTCCGAAGAGCCCGATCACGCCGCGGTTGGTTAGGCATGCGGGATTTTTATTGACCAGGCTTGCGATCAAGACGGACGGGGGGGCACCTTGGGAGAGACCGGGGCGAGCGAGGTGCAAGTCAGGGCTGGGCAAGATCGGCGAGACGATCGATTACAATATCCAGGCGAAGGACTATTCTAAGTTGGGGCCGCGATGGAGTGAAGGCATCTTCCTGGGTAGGCGCGACGAGAGCGACGAGGTCATCGTGGGGGCAGCGCGCGGGGTCGAGCATTGCAGGGCGATGAAGCTGAGGAATCCTGAGGACAGGCACAGCAAGGAGGTCTACAACACGTTCATCGGATTGCCGTGGGATCCTAGAGGTCTGGAGGTGAAGGACCAGAACGATGTCATCAGGAGGAGAAGGTACATCGAAGGCGCTGGTGGAGGAGTATGGGCCCACAGACGGCTGTGCAGCATGCAGAGGGAACTCGGCGATGCACAACGCGAGGCGCAGGGCGAGGTCCGCGAATATTTCTGATGAGGCCGGGTCCGGGATCGAGATGCCAGTTGCAGCTGGAGATGCCCGGCCAGGAGGAGCGCCAGCAGGACAGGCAGCAGCGCCACCGGCAGCAGCACCACCACAAGCAGCAGTGATACTTCAGGAACCACGACAGGAGGAAGAAGGACAACGAGCACCAGGCACACCGGTTGGACACCACTTCTGCCGAGATGAACCAATCAATCAGGACTTAGAGATGACGGGCAACGCGATCGTCGCAGGTGGAGATGTGGCCCCGCTTGCGCCACGGAGGGGCGACGTGATGGAGGTCGGCGTCCTGATGGCAAGCACAAAGGAGGAGGATCGCCACTTCTGCGAGGAGATCGAGCCGAGGGTCAAGTACGACAAGCTGGTGGTAGATGGAGTCTACAGGGACGCGCACGCAGGGGAGGAATTGCCGAAGGAGCTGGTCACTGACGGAGGAACGGGGAGATGAAGGTCATGGAGGCGTTCGAGGTATTCGAGCGCGTGCCAGTCGAGAATTGGACGAAGCCGTTCGGTACCAAATGGATTGATTGCAAGAAGTAGGACCTCCAGAACAACGAGTGGATCGTGAGGAGCCAATGTGGTCACAGGAGGTATAGTGACGGAACCGATCCCTCGAATTTCGCTGGGACACCCGCGTTATTTGGTGATGTCAAGGGCAGCTTCAACGGGACCGAAGGAGAATAGGAAGAAGAAGCTGGGGCTATGAGACATATCGGTGGCGTTCGTCCACGCATCGCTGAAGGAGCCGCAGCACTACGGGCCGCCAGCAGAACAGCACGACCAGGAATGCTCTGGAAGTTGCAGAAGGCGATGGATGGGTCCCCACATGCTTCGATGAAATTTCAGGGGGAAGTTCGAGACAGCTTCGACAGGAACGGATATCAGGGGTTTGAGACGGCATGTTGTCTGTAAGGCAACCCGAAAATAGACTCTTTATGCGCAGGACCTGGAGATGGTTTCGTTGTGGAGGCCTATGACGAGGAGCTGTGCGCTTTCGAGGAGATCATGGCAAGCCGTTTCAAGGTCAAACCTCAGCCACGGATCGGACCTGGAGGAGCTGCAGAAAGGGCGTTTCTCAGCAGGGCGGTTCTTTGGGGCGAGGAGGGCTTCGGCATTCCACCAGACTCGGCGCTGATCTTGAAGATGGTGGGGCTGCGTGACTCGAAGCAGGCCAAGCCTGCTGAGACGCCAAGTTCGAAGCACGCGGCGAAGGTAGTTCGAGAAGCAGGAGACCCAGCATCGCGTCAGAGTTCAATGGTCTACCGCAGTTGTGGAGGCATTGCTCAGTGCATGGCTGGCGGCCGATGGGAAATGCAAGAAGCTGTCCGGGAGCAGAGTTGTTTCTACGACGGCCCGAAGGCGAAGCGCATCCTGAAGCACGAGCGGATGGTCAGATACTTGAAGGGGGCGGCAGACATCGCGATATTCTACCCGTGCCAGGAGGAGACTTTCAAGGCGAGGCGTCGGTGGGCGCAGACTGGCCAGGACTGGAGGCAACGCGCAAGAGTATTTCATCCGGAGGGGTGCGATTGGGAGCTCACTTGCGCGAGAGCCTGGTTTTGTCTCAGGCGACGATGGCATTATCAAGTGGAAAATCGGAGATCTACGCTGCGGGGTTAGGATCTGCCAAGGACTCACTATCAAGCATGTGTTGCAGGAGATGGCGGAGATGAGGCATGAGCAGATCAAGATCACCCTAGAGTTGGAGACGGACCCAGCTGCAGCGAAGGGGGCGCTTCACAGAGATGGCGTGGGTCGAGTACGACATCTACAGACGAGGTGGATCTGGCACCAGGTCACCAGGATTTAATCCGCGATGGAGAGATGGAGGTGATCAAGGCCAACGCCAACAGCCAGGTCGCAGACATGGGGGCCAAACCGATTGACAAGGAGACGCCCAAGAGGCACTTGAAGACGCTGGGGCTGAATGTCGACCACAAGTTTCACGAAACCTGAGGTATTGACATAGGTGCTGGCAGTCATGATGGTGATTCCGAAGACGGAGGCGGCTGAGTACTACTACGAGGACGGAGTCAATAGCAAGGTGAGTATGACGGACGAGTTCAGTTGGTGGAGTTTGTTTATACATGTATTGGTAACGGTGGTGGCAGTGGCGATTAGTGATTACATGTTCGCGGTGTAGGAGAAGCGAGTTGCGGGTCAATTCATCAGTGCCCTAGGTGCGAATCAGAGGACGGAGGTGTGCACAGCGCCATTTCGATCAGTGCACGGAGATGAGAGTTGTGGGTCAGATGTTCGCTACCCGAGGGACGATTACGATGACAAGGGGTATGGTTCAAGTAAGTGGTCCCCGACAAGGGCCGACTGCCAGGAGGCGACGCCGAGACGATTCGCCTGAGTCGGAGGTGCAGCATATCTCGAGCATGAGGTCGGTGACAATGCAAGGGCCTGCGACCTACAAGAGCAGGAGCAAGCTCCATGATGCTGCTGATGGCCGTCTCGCGCCATTGGGAGCTTGGCAATAATCATGTTACGCACACCCAGAGCGAACAGTTCGAGATGCAGCTGGTGCTGGGCGTAGCTGGCTTGGTCGGATAAATACGACGGAGCCTGATCAGCTCCCGAAATCGTTTCACGCAAGAACGAATTATTGCAGAGACCGATATACACGTGATTGAGAGGTTTCTTGCCATGGTTGGTTCAGAGATTAAAATGTCTTGGATCGGAACCGATGTGGTCCCGGATACGGTGGAGTAATGTATGCTGGCGTGACTGACGAGTACGCTAGCGTGCACAGAGGCCTCGAGGAGGGCTGCAGGGATTCACTGGGCAAGAGCTTATATTAGTTGTACTGAAACCGTTTGGCTAAAGAAAAGGAATCCACACCATTCCGCACCCGTGATTGAATTTGTCCGTGAAGTATGTTGATAACACGCAGAATGTTCCGTAGAACTTCCCTATGAACTCCGTAGGTTCCACGGGAATTGCAAGTTTGGGGCGCATCAATCCTGCACCCGACCCCTTACTCGACGAGTGTGGGGCAACGACGACGACGACGCCGACGGCGGCAGCAACGACGACCGCAGCTGGAGTGGCCAACCCGTGTACCTGTCAGTTCCGATTCAGGTGTCAGGCATTGTGCCACTGTGGCTTCTGACCAGAATGCGTTCGGTCACCATTGCGGCTTCATCGAGTTCTCGGAGGTCCTCGAGCGTGATGGCGCGGTGAACGACCCAGAGCGGATTGCCAGTGCGCCTTCCCGTAATTGAGCGCCGATGGCCAAGTGTTGCTTGTTTGTTGTTTGTTGTTGTCGTCGTCTTCGCTCGCGACCCACTCGCGACCAGCCTACGACCCTCCCGCGACCTGGCCGCGACCCAGCGCGCGCGCGAGGAGCGTGGCGCTGGGAGTAGGGTCGGGGGGGGTTGCCTGGCGGCGGCGGTGCAGTCAGCAGCCGGACGGCAGGATCGCACAACGCCCAGCCGATCGAGGCGGTGTTGCAGTTTTGGAAGGCCTCGGAGCCGCCGCGCATGGGAGGGGGGGCGGAGGAGGCGGAGAAGGCGGAGGAGGAGGAGGAGGAGGAGGAGGAGGAGGACGGCCTTGCGGCTCAGGCCCCTGGGCCGCGCCCCCTGGATACGCGGCGTTTTCGTCGCGGGTGCCCCACGCGGGACCTGCGCCCTGGAATCGCAGACCGCGGGAGCGCCTTGGAGGCCCTTCGGAGGCCTCCTCTGGGGCCTGCTGGGGGCCCAGGGCGCCGTTGGGGGCTTCCTGGTGGCTTCCAAACTCGAGGCGATTCAATGATTTTGACCTTTTGGCGTACCCGCGGGGCCTCCGAGACAGTCCAACGGGCCCCCGCGAGAGCCACAGACCGGTCCCCTGGGGCCATCTTGAGACGCGTGGGAAGTATGGACTCCCGCTTCGCTCCCGAGGCCTTGGGAGAAGTCGCGCGGGGACTCCCACAAGCGCGCGAGGAAGCCCGAGAATTTCGTGAGTCAGGGCCTGGGCGCCCCGAAACGTATTTGCACTCCTCCGTTCACTCCGTACAGAGGCCTCGACGGAGTTTGAGGGCATTCCATACAGGCTCTACGGCCAACGGCACGGTGCCGGACATTGTCAGATTAGGTTTGTTTGAGAGGGTCTCATGTGTTGTTGAACAGCTGGTGGGTGCGAGGCCTGCGCCAGCCAGCCTTCTTCTAGTATCCCGGGTTCTCGGTTTCCTTGTTGGTTCTGCTATCTTGTTCCCAACCATCCTGTGGTGTTGGGTCTTCGTTTTGAAGAGAGAGAGAGAGAGAAAGAGAGCAAGAGGGAAAAAGAGAGAGCGTCCCGTGTTCCTCATCGCTTTCCTCCCTCCTCCAACTCCTTGCCTCTGCCCTCCGCACTCCGCACGTCCTTATCGGTATCATCATCATCCCCGCCATAATCATCTTCATCATCATCACCAGCATCATCATCATCAGCATCAGCATCATCATCATCGTCGTCATCATCAGCATCGTCATCGTCATCAGTTTCAACATCAACATCATCATCATCATCACCACCACCACCACCATCGTCAGCATCATTATCGCCATCAGCATGATCATCAGTATCGCCATCACCATTATCATCATCATCATTTTCATCATCATCAGTATCATCATCATCATCATCATCATCAGCATCAGCATCAGCATCAGCATCAGCATCATCATCATCACCAGCATCATCAGCATCATCAGCAGGCGACCCAAATGGTGGCACCAGTCAACCATTCCAGCACACCTCTCACACGTTTTGTGGTCTCATAAGGAGCTCCACCGCAAGCCCAAAAGGCGGCGACCGCATGCGCCCGCCGCACCCATTTCGGCACAGCCTTCACACGTTTCGTGGCCCCCAAGGGGAGCTCCACCGAAGGCCGAAAAGGCAGCGCCCACATGCGCCCGCCGCACCCATTTCGGCACACCCCTCACACGTTTCATGGCCCCTATAGGGAGCTCCACTGAAGGTACCAGTGGCAGCGCCCGCGTGCCGCTGCCATCCCACTTTGGCTCACCCCTCACACGTTTCGTGGCCTCCATAAGGAGCTCCACCGAAGACGTTGTTGACGACTGCTGTACTCACAGATGCATGTGGTTAGCTCTTTCGCCAGGCTCATCTTTTTTGAAAGGTCAGCCCAACCGGCCTCCCTCGGGTTTTCCGGGTACCCGGTGTTCTTTGGTCTTGTGTCCTGTTTGTGTTTGGGACGCGTGCCCTAGGGGCAATACCAAGCGATGCCAAGTGGGCCAATCCATGCAGCGCCACGCAAAGCATGGCCAACCAGTGCCAAGCAATGCAAAAAAATGCAAAGCGGTGGCAAGCAATCCCAACAACAATACAATGCCAAGCAATGCCGAGCGGTGCAAAGAATTGATGAGCACCGCGAAGACTTGCCAAGCAATGCAAAGCAATGCCAAGCAATGGTAAGTCATGCCAAGTATTGCAAAGCTATGCGAAGCGATGCCGCGCAATGCCGAACAGTTTCAAAACATGCCCAGGATTGCGAAGCAATGTGCAGCGATGCCACGCTCTGCCTCAATGCCGAACAATGCCAAGGGATGCCAAGCATTGGAATGCAAAACAATGCCAAACGAATGCCAAGCAATGCAAGGCAACGCCAAGACATCCGCAGTAGTGTCAAGCAGTGCAGTGGAGCGCGAAGCCATGCCATGCAACCCAGCAATGCCAAGCAGTGCAAAATGAAACCCAGCAATGGCAAGCAACGGCAACCAATGCCCATGCAACACCAGGCAATGCAGCATTGCCGAGCAATCCAAAGCACAGCAAAGCAAAGCAATGCCTAGCACTACAGGTTAGTGTCGACCAATGCCGAGCGATGCTAGGCTCAGCCAATCAATGCCAGACAAAGCCAAGCAGCGCAGCGCACTGGAACTGCAATGCCAAGCAAGGCAGCGCAATGCCAAGCAATGCCAAGCAATGCCGCGTAAGAAGCGTTCCCCTAATCGCGGTCGCGCTGAGTCCACTTGCATGCGTGAGCATAGTCGCCATTTCTCTACGATTCTAGAGACGTCCCCACATCCATATCTCCCGCCTTCGGGCCGCGCCTGGGGATCTCGAGGACTCGTCGAAGGGTGGTGGCAACCTGTAATGGAGGATGACGATTAATAAATGACCGGGGGTCGTGTTCACGCGGCGGCGCCCGGGATGGCGATTAGAAAAATTCGGCCGCGGGCTGGACAACTGTTTCTTTTCATCGTGCTCCTCCAGTCAGACAATGATGCAGAAACAGCAGAAGACTATTTCTTTAATTGTTCCCTCCCATTTGTTTAGCAATCGTCATCCCGCAGTACTCGTCCGCGCCTGAGGGGCAGGGGAGCATCCGCAGGTGGCGCCGCCCACGCTCTCCGCGCCGCACGGCTCTGTCTCGGAGCGGCGGCCGTGGCCGGCACGGGGCCACGCGGCCCCGTCGAGCCACGGGCCCCGCCGCACGGGGCCGCGCCGGCCCCGAGGGGCTCCCCGGGGCTGCCCCCGCTGGGCCCCCGCCGAGAGGGGTCACGCAGATGATGGGCTTGTTTTCCACCACCACCACCATAAGTTGGAGGGGGAGGGGGTCCTCCTCCTCCTCCTCCTCCTCCTCCTCCTCCTCCTCCTCTTCCTCCTGCTTATGGTGGTGGTGGTGGAAAACAAGCCCATCAGCAGAGGGCCGCCGGCACGGGTGTGCATCCGCCGCGGGGCGGCAGCGCGACGGGCTGGACGCGGCCACCCGTTCTCCGGAGGGTCCTGGCCAGACGCCCGCCAGCCGTGGTGCGCCGCGGCGGTGCGCCCCTCTCGTCCCAGCAGGCCGCCCCCCCCCCCCTCCTCGCCCCGCTTGCCTTGGCGCTCCGCCTCCTGTCGGGCTCTCCGCCCGCTGGCTCGAAGGGCGGCCCGCCCGCCGCGGGGTCCGCCCGCCCGCTTGCGGAACCTGACGCGTCCCCCAGACATCCGACGACTTGTTTTCGGTAGCAAATCCTGGGAGCCTGGCAGGCCCTCTTAAATCCGTCTTCAGCGTCGACGAGCGCCGATGAGCTAGCGTCTGGGAGTCGATGCGATAGCGCCGATTTAGCGCCGATTTACCGTCGGCTAGCGTCGATTGGCGTCGACTCGCAAGAGCCGACAACATGGTAGGGATGAGTTGCCACAGAACTTGGTTCTTCCGATTCGACACCGTGCCTCCCCAGTGGTATGGGCCCCTGCCCGGGGACCGGTCCTCTACGTCCCTATAGGTCGTCTTGTGGACGGCCCTGGCCCAGAGCGTGGCGGGAACCCCCGGAGGCCGAAGAGCCATCCACAGGCCAAACGATCCCGTCGTTCCAAAGTCAGTGCTCGCACTGCAGGGGTCCTCGCGGACATTGAAAGATTTGGCGGAGGGCCCCGGCCGATTTCGGCAGCCGGCTGGGTCCCAGGTTCCCGGCTCCGGGTTTCCAGGCTCAAGGTTGTTGGATTATGGGATCCCACGATCGGGCTCACCGTCGATCTCATGCTCGATCTCACGATCCATCTCTCTCAATCGATCTCACTATCCTCTGATTTGGAATTTTCTCTGGTGCAATCTTGCTTCACGGCGTGAGGATGCCAGGGCCTCGCCGTCGAGGCAGGCAGCATCAGCACCAGCAGCAGTTGTCGGAGCTCGGGCGCTCTGCTCGGATCGGCGCTCTGCCCCTCCGGCGGTGCCTCCAGCGCCGCCCCTGGCGCCGCCCGCTGCGCGCCCCGCGCCAGGCAGGGAGGACCCGACCTCCTCCTCCTCCTCCTCCTCCTCCTCCTCCTCCTCCTCCCACTCCTTCTCTTCCTCCTCCGCCTCCTTCTCCCCCTCCTCCTCCTCCTCGTCCTCCTCCTCCTCCTCCTCCTCCTCCTCCTCCTCCTCCTCCTCCTCCTCCGATCTGCGCGGAGGTCCGCCAGTTGATGTTCCTGCAGTCTGTCCTTCCGCTGCCTCGAGGTCGGGGAGCCCACCCTCGAGCCCCTACTGCTGGAGTCTGCTCCACAGTCCTGGGTGCTCACAGAGAGGCCCGCCCTCTTCGCTTCTCCCCGAGGGTGCGTCTGCCAAGAGGGCTCCGCTGTGTACGGGGTACGTCTTGTGAGAGTGACTGTTTCTGCCGGAGGACCCCGTGCTGGCGGAGCTCTTCCGTGGGGCCGCGGCAGGACGGGGCGGCCTCTGCGCGCCTCGGGTCGGGCCGGCGCGGGGTTGTCCAAACCCACATGGCTCGGTCGACTCGGACATGCGCAGTTGCTGGCCCATGCGGTACACACATGCGGTGCTACGATATCGCCGGGGAGTTTCTGAAATGCTTCCTGGGGTTACACACACATATATATATACATATATATATATATGTATGATCGACCGAAAGCGACCAGAATCGGAAGGGTTCTTTCTCCCCCTTCCCTCCCCCTGCTGCCCTTCTCTCCCCAGTCTAGCCGAGAACACGGAATTACGGAGTGCGACTCGGAGCGGCCATCGTCTGACCATCCCTCACAGCGACAGACATGACAGCTACATTGGACATTTTGTGAGTCCCAGCGCGTACTGGCATTGGATATTTTTTTGACCAGGAGGATCAGCAGCATGAGGAGAAGGAGGCGGGAGAGGACAAGGAGGAGGAGCAAAGGGAGGAGGGTTATGTTGCGCACTCTTTTCGCGTAGTGCTGACACGCCGCAACGCACAGCTTGAAAGAGCAAAGGCGCCAAAGTACTGCTGACGTGCAATGCAGACTTGTCATACACTGGCACGTTGCTAGCACGTAGTGTGAGTATTACGCTGTCCGAGCGCAGCGCCGTCTCACAAGGACGTTGTGCTGATACAACTTGTGAACCCATCGTTGACGCATGCTCATGATAAGGGGAAACACGCAGACTCGGCACGCACGTCTAATAGCGCGCGCTTGTGTGCAATGGCGGCGCGCAGTGCCACACTGTGTGCCCGTACCCGTACATACACATAATTCCCAGAGCATCCGCATTAGTGAATTAACATTGTTTCTGACATATGGGCAACAATCAATGTAATCCCTGGAGCTGAAGGTGGTGCAGGGCCACACTAAGAGTGGCATCGTTTATCTGAACCTTTTCGTCCGGAACCTGAAATCTGCAGGCTACCCTGCGGGCGGGGTTCTGGGCTTGGACGACCACACGGCTGCAGGTGAGCCCAGTCTGAAGTGCCAGAACCGAGTCAGTTTGCTCTTGATTGACGGGCTTGGTCTCGGTGCCAGTTCCGAGAACGCCTCCCTCCACCGCAGTGGCATACTTTTAAGTGATGCCGTCGTGCAAGCACGTTTGTCTTTGTCACTGCAGTTAGTTGGACGTGCGATTGACAAGACTACCCCATCCCCTGTTTCACCCTCCCTTGTTTCACCTTGTCATCCTTCCGCGGCGCCCCAGCGCCCCCCTGCACACTCGCACCTACGAACCTCTATCCATGAAGCTCTGCTTCGTGATTATGTGTCTCACCGCCCAGCGATCCATATCCCTTGAGAACAGCTACGATGTTCAGCAGCAGATGCGCGCCGACGGGCGCGACAGCCTCAAGAAGATCAACAAAAAAATAAGACGGCGTCGGAGAGGTTCAAGAGGGCCCGGAGACGGCCAACGAGCGCTCGAAGAGGGCCCAGCATGGCTTCAAGACGGCCCAAGAGGCTTCCAAGACGCCGCATGAGGCCCCCAAGAGACAAGCATCGTCCCAAGTCCTCTCGGATAATCTAAATGTTTAGCAGATTGGCATATTTTATGTGGTCTTCACAGTGTCCAAGACGGCTCAAGAGGCTCCCAAGACCGCCCCAGGACGGCCTGAGAGGCCCCAGAGAGCGCTCCAAGACGGCCCAAAAGGACTCCAAGACGGCCGAAGAGAGCCCTCAGACGGCCCAAGACGGGCCCCAGAGGGCCCCGAAAGGTTCCCAAGAGAGCCCCAAGAGGGCCACACGAGACCACAGGAGGTCTCCAAGAGCGCTCCCAGAGAGCCCCAAGACGGCCCAAGCCCGCCAAGACGGCCCAAGGTGTCGCGGGACCCTTTTCGGTTGTCTTTAGGCGATACTTGTGGCCTCTAGGCCGTTTTGGAGCTTCGGGAAGCCGAGAACGCCACAATCATTCAAACATTTTCGGGGAAGTTAGCAGTTGTTTTCCTTTGGGGCCTCCCGAGCAAGGCTGACATGGCTTACTTCGGAGGACGCCAACCTTCCACCTCACCACTCCTGGCCGGGCCGATCCGGGGCTCAGGGTCGATGTGCGTGCATGCGTGACCGAGCCAGCTGGGCGTAGGCACCGATGCTGGGCCGAGGATGGGCCTGGCCAGGATTTGGCGAGGTGCACAGTCTTGGCATCGCTCGGACGTGTGCGTTTTTTTCCTCGGCGAGGACCATCGAGGAGCATCCTTGATCATTTGGCGAAAAAGCCACGCACGAAACCGAAAAAAACACAGGGAATGGACGTCCCAGCGATGGCGAGACAGTGGAGGGCCCCCGAAGCCCCCCGCGCGCCGGGGGGGGAGGGGGGCGGCGGGGGCGAGGCGGCGGCGGCGGCCCGTCGCAGGACTCGTGCCGCCGCTGCTGCCGGTGCTGCTGCGCGGCGGGGAGCCGTTCTGGAACCCCACCGTCAACAAGATGACCGCCCTCGTGCTGGAGAAGCTGGAGCGGCGTCCCACCGCTCTGGGCCTAGATTTGTGGAGGACGATCAGTGGAGAGGGAGCATGTTCCAGGAGGGAGAAAACACACAGACACAATATTGATCTTCGATTCCCAGAAAATATGGGAGAATATGGGAAGTGGGGGGGAAGACAAAAGCCCAGAACATATAGGAAAATATACATATGGAATCCTGTCATTTGTGTGTATTTATTTGTGTGTCCCAGGGCCCCTTCAATGTTGCCAAATAATTCGCAGATGCCTGAAGCATGTGTTAAACATGTTGGAGGCATGTGAAATATGTTTAGATCATGCTTAGACCATGTTTTACACATTTTACTCACATGTTTGAATCAATGATAGGATTGTTCCAGTGTCCATTGTCCAGGCATCCACAAGCCCAGACGGGGTCGAAGGATCGCGCCGCTTCGGCGATGCATCGGCGATGCGGCGCGACCTTCCGACCCCATCGGCTCGGACCCAATCTGGGAGTCCTCTGTGCACGCCTCCTCGTTGGATCACACGGCTGCCGGTCGCACCCGTCGGAAGTCAGCGCTCCGGCCAGGCCGGGTGCCACTGTCGGGGGAGCGTAAGACCTGGGTTTGCCAGGACTCGGGTTCGCCATCGTTTTTTGACGACCGCGCCTCGGATTTTGACGAGGAGGAGTTTCGTGGGATGTCTGCAGCGGGAGGCCTCGTCAAAATGCAGGCTCGGCCTCGTCATTTTTGTTGACGACCTCGTCGGGGATTTCCGAGTCCCCCGTACCCAGGTCTTACGTCCCCCTGACCGTAGGCGCTCCAGGTATGTTCTCCTGTACGGCCTCTCGGAGGTGTAGTGTTACCCTTGATCGTTTCAATGACGGTCGTCGGGGCGTCTCCCGTCCCAGTGTTTTTTTTATTGTTTTTTCTATCATGCAGGTAGCTAGTTCGAGGTCGCGCTCCGCACAGCTTTCCAGAGGAACGTGTTGCGTGGTGGTTGCATGCATTCGGTTCTGGCTGTGCGCATCGAGCGTTGGCCACTCAGGAAGACCCTCTACCTGATGCCTGGTGGTGGACAGTCCTACATAGAAGGCCAGGGTCACGCTACAGACCAATGCCGATGTTTGACCGTGATTGCGCACCAGATGGCGCAACGAGTGCAACTGGCAGCCATGGCTGAGGGGCATTGGCTTGTGAGGCCAAACGTATGGTCTAATTACGACAACACGTTCACATTGCAAAACAATGTCTTCCGGGCTGGCTGCGTCAGGTTCGAATCGTTGGATCCATCGCATCTGTTGGCTTCTCGCATGCATTCACGGAGGACCTCTCGTTGAAGTGTTCGCACTGGTGCCCAGCTGCTGGTTTTGTGGGCTCCAGCACGACACTTCGAGCCGTGCAGACCTGGTGCGGGTGTCCTTTCGTCTCTCTCCCCTGCGGCGCCTCTCGAGCTGATTCACACCTCCACCCTGCCTCGCGCGAGGAACAGAGCGATCCCGTGATCTTCGCCTCCACGGCCGAGGACACGGGGAGGTCATCTCCGAGGAGGAAAAGGTACCCATACCTCTGCCCTTCCCCCGTGTTCCCCTGCTTGTGCCTCCTGGCCTCCTGGGAGGCCCCAGTCGCCACCGCTGGATTCGTCTCGGAATTCTGGTCTGACTGCTCCCCGGGAGAGGTCCACGGAGTACAGTCGGGGCTCAAGAGACGGGGTCAGTGTAAAAGGGTGTCAGTCAGCGCGCCGGATCTTGCAGGATCCTACAGAGCCAGGGGCGCACTGACCCGGGTTTGGGCGCAGGATCTTGCAGGATCTTGCAGGATCCTGCAGGGCATGACTGACACGGTTCTGGATTGACCTGGGCCGCTTCCTCCCCGAAGCGGTATCGGTATCCCTTGGTTCCCCCATCGGGTTTCCCTGGGCCGACGGTCTGGGCAGAGGGCAGCGTGGTCGCTGCGCTGGCTGGTCTTGATCAGGCTGCGCGATGCAGCCCGAATCGAAGTGCACAGGCACACGCAGCCAGGTCATCGTTTGCCGATCGGCGCGAGTCCTCGCATCCCCCATCCCCCGTGGAGTAGACCTTGGTTGTTTTCTGGCGCCTGTTTCGAACAGGTGATGTCTCCCCCATTGGACGCACTGTGGCAAACAGTCGCATGATGCAGAGGTCCGGAGCCAGACCCCCCTCCTCCCCCCCCCTCCCGCCCAAAGTCGAAGCGCCGAATAAGAAAATGAGAAAACGCTCACCAGAAGCCCGCGCGGACATCTTGGGTCGGCGTTGCGCTTCGCTCACCAACGAAGGCGGGTCCAGCGCCGACCCCAGGACTCCGAGTTCGGACGTCCGGCAGCGTAGACATGGCAGTGTTATCCCCAAGAGCGTGTGCTTAAAAGAACCCGTTCTTGGTTGTTTAATGACTTGCCCGCGCGGCCGCCCTCGTCGTCCTGTTTCCTTCCTCTTGCACGTGCGTTGGCTGGCCCTCGGACTGGCATGCCGTTGTGGTGATGACTCGAGGCGTCTGGTGGTCGCGAGCGCACGGATGGCGGTGCTCACCAGCGCGCCGCGGCCTTCGCAGGGTTTTTCCGTGCTCGGGAAGGACAAGGAGGACGGGGAGGAGGAGGAGGTTCGACGGGAGGAGGGGCAAGGGACAAGCGAGGTCATCACAAATCGGTGTGGACGGGCTGGTGGTACGTGAAGTATACATCCTGTGCGCCCAATATACGGGGACCGTATCGGGGCTAGAACGTCAACGCATGATTCTCACATGGAATTCGGCACGGCCGGGCTTCGGAAGATGCGTCCATGCAGCACGTTCGCTTCCTCTGTGAGGCCATGGCCTACTGCGTGTGTCGATCGCATGCTGCTCGTGCGGAGGTCTCTGATGATCTGGCGACCTGCAGATTTGCACAGTGGTAGAGGCCGCGTCGCGTGATGTTCTGTGGTCGCGCTCCATCCTATTTTAAAACATAAGAGAATACAAACATATTGCATTCGATCCGTTCGGGCTCCCCGCGATTTTCTGGATGTTGGCCCCATTGCGACCCTGGCGGTGCACACAGGCTTTCTGGTGTACGCACGCACGTCGGTGCACATGCGCCGAGGTGCTCACAGATGATGCTGACGCCGCATGTGACATGTGCGATACAATCAGGCGTTTGGTGTATCGAAGCATTGTTGTGCACACAAGCGTTGTGGTGCACACGGCTGCTCTGGTGTACTCAGGCGCTACGGCGCGCACGGATGTTGTTGCAGCAGTTGTGTTGCACACAGGCATGGCGATGTACATAAGCATTGTTGTCCACACAGGCCGTATGTACACATGCAGTGTGGTGTGCACAGGCGCTGTGGTGCCCACAGATGTTGTTGCTGCGGCAACTGCGGTGTACACAAGCACTGCTGCGTACGCGGGCAGTGAAGTGCACATCGGCAATGTGATGTACACGGGCAGCATTGGCCCAACTCACATTGAATTTGATACTTTCGGGCATTCCGCGATTTCCTGGGCACTTTGGTGCATGCAGGCGCTGTGGTGCACACAAGTGCCAGCGTGCACACAGGCACTGCAACACAGGCGCTGCGGTGCACATTGATGCTTCGGCAGCAGCAGTGATTGTGAACAAAAGTGTTGTGGTGCACGCATTCACTGTTGTAGACAGCAGCGCGACAGTGCACACAGACAGCAGGGTGTACACAGACACCGTGGTGTGCACAGGCGTCGTGGTGCACACGACTGGCTGCTCTGCAGCAGCAGCTGTGGTGGACACGGGCCTTGTGGTGTAAACGCGCAGTGTTGGTGAACGCAGGCGTTGTGGGCCTTGTGGTGTAAACGCGCAGTGTTGGTGAACGCAGGCGTTGTGGTGTGCACCGGCGTTGGTGCGCACAGCAGGACGCTGCGTGTCCGCACCGGAGTTCAATGACCCGCCCCCGCTGCTCCCGGGATGGCGACGCGCGGGGCCGGTATGAGGCACCCCTGGAGCACAGAGGATGCTTCGCGCCCCAACCCCTCCCCCGCCCCCACCCCGCTCTCACGCGCGGCATCCCCGGCAATGAGTGCACATTCTCCTCGTGGCCGCCTCGTGCGCGTGCCCGTGCGTGACGGAAGGCGAGCACCGATTCGCGTCTCTTCAAACAGTGAATGCATCTTCTTATCCCCCACCGAGGCCAGGTTACCCGTTCCCTCCGCGCTTTGTTTGTTTGTTTCATTTGTGCACCCCATCCTAATTATCAAGCCAGCCCGGTCGGTATCGACCCACCCTCCATGTCACTCAACCAGTACGATGCGGTGCACATGCTGCATGCGTTGACTTAAATTTTGCTTTTCCCAGTAATCCTTTAAACCGTACATAGCGGGGCACATGTGCGCTCCGCCGCGCGCGCGCACGCCAAAATTGTACAACAGTTCTTTCTAAGGTATCAATGCATACATTAAGGCATGGCTGGCAAGCATTTGACAACACACCGGTCTTCAACAGCTATGTCAGTGTCGGAACCTGTGCGCGTTGACTCGCTGAAGTCTTCAGCTGGCTTCCTTGCACAGCCTGTCACATGAGACCGTGCGGGCACCTTGCGCGCTGCGCGCATGTCGAAGACGTTCACACACACACAATCACGCGCCCACCAGCTGTTTCCAATAGTGCCCTGCGGGCCACCGCGCGCGTCCGCCGTGCGGGCCGGGCAGTTTGTTCCAAGACAGTGTCGGCACATGTGTGTCCAGACGCATACGTCGACTCATCGCTGTTCCGTGGAAGCATGCTGGGATGCTCGAATTTCTGCTGGCGCGCAGTGTTCTTTCATCCTTCTCATCATCACGCTCGTTATCATCATCGGTGGCGTAGTCATTGCCATCGTCATCATCGTCACCATCGTCGGTATCACCATTGCCGCCGTCATCCTCGTTACCGTCGACGACGTCGCAGTCGTCAACTTTCTGCGCGCGGGAACTTTCGACATCGGCATCACCAGCACCATCGCCAGCGTCATCGCTGCCTCCTCGTTATCTTCGTTATCTTCACCATCGTCGTCATCAGTATGACCATCGTCGTCGTCGTCGACATCAGTCCTCACCGTCGTCATCGGCGACGAGATCGATGCCCTGGCGGGCCGCGTGGCGAGGCCGCATGATGCGCGGCCATAAGTGTGCAGTCACATTCCCGGCTTTTTTTATGTTTCAAACCTACCAAACACATTCGTGTTGGAAGCGCTCTATCATGAACGCGTCAAACGCCAGGCCAGGCTTGTCATCAACCCCCTGCAGGTGTTCAGCCCGCGCGTTTCTGAAAGCATACGACAACCATATGGTCTTTACAATCCTGCACAGGGCCAGCATTCTCATTTCACCGCGCTAGCATGCGTCCAATGCACGAATCCGTATCAAATAGTACAATGCGGGCCATGCGCGCGCGCCGCGCCCGCCAGACTTGCTTTGAATGTCTGCGCCACGCGCACTGCCACACCGTCAAGTGCGTCAGCGCTATTGGATCACCGCCGTCTCCGTCATTGTCAATTGCATGGGCATCATCATCATCATCATCGTCATCATCATCATCATCATCATCAGCATCATCTTCATCTTCATCATCATCATCATCATCATCATCATCATCATCATCATCATCATTACCATCATCATCATTATCACCATCATCATCATCATCATCATCATCATCGGCATCGGCATCGGCATCGTCATCGTCATCGTCATCGTCATCGTCGTCACCAGCATCTGCGCCGTCATTGACCTTGCCGGCGTCTTCGGCATCATCGCGGCCACCGTCGCTGACGTCATCATCCTTGCCGCCGTCGCTGATGTCATCATCCTTGCCGCCGTCATCGTCCTTGCTGCACTCTGACACCGCGCCCGCCCGAGCCACCGGCCCGCACTGAGGCGCCCGCGCGCAAGCACGGACGTGCAGCGGGACATTCCCATCGGCAAGCACCATCGCGGCCGCATCGGAGCCCAACCAGTTCGTCGTCTTGCGCGGGACGTTGGCGTGCCAGCTCGGCCGCGCAGATGCGCCGCCAGGTGCCAGCCGGCAGCCGCAGTCGTGGCCGCATGGGCGTTGCCAAACAAGTTGCGGGTGGGAGGGCGGGGTAATTGCGACAGCAGTGGGTTCGACAATCGACGCGCTCACCTAAGGTCCGGGCACCAAATACACGGCACATTTCTTGATTTACGTCCACATAGGTCGCATCCCACTCATTGTCCCGCGTGGCGTGCACATCGAGGGTGTTATTACCTACTGGTACAGGGTCCACGCTTTCAAAGAGCGGCCCAAATCCTTTACCGGATGGAGCTCGGTGTGCCCATGTTGGCCCGAAGAAGTCACCGTAACTGTCGTGAGTCAAGATTCTGCCTCGTTGTTGCAGATTCTAGCTCCTCACGTCCACCCAAAGGCGGCGTATTGTCCTATCGTCTTTGAGTACCAGGCCCTGGAACTGTTGGAGTACAGCACATCACGCTTGAACGCGCGAGGGTATGTGACCTTCCAAGCGCACGTATTGGGACACGTGCCAATGATATGACCGCGCGAGGCGCGCCGTGGGACGCAAAGCACGACATTCGAGGGGGACGAGTAGGTCATCGACGCTCGAGCTTCGACGCCTCCCCAGGGATTGGTTTGTTGTTCACAGTGCGCCCCCCCAAAACAATATAGGCTTGAAGGGGCCCAGAGCGGGCACAATGCATCGGACACGGTTTCCACCTTGACGTTTGGAGGTACATGGGGTGAGATCGGGGAAGTCTCCGAGGCATCCCGAAGGTATTCGTTGGCCGAAGTCTCGGTCCGTGTCCTCCGACCTCGTCCGCTTCGTCCTCCCTCTTCCTGAACGGAGTTTCGATGGGTGCCCTCTGGTGGGCGAAGTTTGTTTGCCCAGCACTGCATGCCTGTTTCTGCGATCCCTTACTCCTGGAACAGTTGGCGGCGGATCCAGGATCGGTGGTACCAGAACCCAGCCAAAGGGCGAGGCCAAGGTGCTCTCTGCACCAGTGCGACTTCGCGACCCTTCCGCCAACCACATCCAAGACAGCGCATGCCGTCCGCCCCCCTCCGCGCAGGACCTCTGGGGCCCTGGCAGGCAGGTGCCCGCCTTCGAGCAGGCCGCGGCGGCCCCGCGCGAGCGCACCGCCGAGGAGCAGGCCGAGAGCGACGCGAGGATGGCTGCCCCAAGGCCGCCCGCGGAGGGGCAGCAAGGGCTGGCCCCCAGCCCAATCCAAGAGGAGGCAGGGGAGGACGGGGGGGGGGAAGGAGGGAGGAGGACGACCGAGCAGAGGGAAGACCGCGGCTCCACGTATACCCTCCCGCCCTCCCGCCGACGACGACGCTGCCGCCAATGCCGCCGAACGCCGACGATGATGACGCCAACGCCGCCGACGACACCGCCGACTACGCCAAAAACGACGACGACGACGACGACGACGACGACGACGACGACGACGGCGGCGGCGGCGGCGGTGGCGGCGGCAACGACCACGACCACGACGACGACGACGACGACGACGACGACGACGACGACGAGCGGGGGCCCGTCCCAAAGCACGTGCTCTGCTGCCTCGTGGCTCGCTTCCCCTGCGCATTCCGCGCGCTATCGCTGGCGCCTTGGCGCGGAGCCCCCTGGTCGGGCCTTTCGGGGAGTTGCGCGATGTGGCGCGCAGCCGTCAGGCCCCAAGTGGAATGTGCATGCGTCCCCCCGCCATCCCACACACGAGCCGAGCACAGGGAGGTTCATCAACAACGTCAAATCAAGCTGCTAAGAGTTAGCTCACTCGCCGGGCGAATCCGTATATGATTCAAGCGTTTCGCCCTTTCCGCCGGCCCATATTCTATTTTAGCTGTGATTTGTTCGTGCCCTCGCGGGCAATTGGAAGTATTTGGATTGTGACCTATTCCCTATTCCCCATGCTGTCGTGTGAAGCCTGCGTTGGTGGAAGCCGTGGCTTGATAGATGGAAGGCGACACTTAGGCCGTCGGTCCATCCCACCCACCGTGCCTGTGGTCTGGGTCAGTCTTGGATGCATGTGTGGGTCTATTGGGGTGCTTTTCAGGGGCCTCTTGGAGGGATCTTTGGAGCCCTGTCTTGAGGGCCTTATGGGCGCCTGCAGGAAAGCTTCTTGGGAGCCCTTTGGGACCTCTTGGGAGCCTCCTGGGAGCTTCCTGGGGTTCCCCAGGGGCCTCCCAGGGGGTCTCTTCGGGGCGTCTTGGGGCCTCTTGGGATTCTCCTTGCTGGCGGTCCCTGGGGTCGTTCTGGGGCGGAAGGCTGAGAATGTATGATCGTTTTCCCCTCAGCGTGTCCCCTTTGGAGCCATCTTGGGCCGTCTGGGGAGGCTCTTGGTCCGTCTGGAGGCCTCTTAGAGGCCTCTTTGGCTGTCTTGGGGGCGATCGGCAACATCATAATCATCAACATCATGATCATCGGGTCACCATCATCATCACCCGTTGCACCATCATCATCACCATTGTCAACAACATCATCATCATCATCATCATCATCATCATCATCATCATCAACATCATCGTCCTCATCATCGGGACATCATCATCACCACCACCATCACCAGCATCATCATCAACAACATCATCGACATCATCATCATCATCATCATCATCATCATTATCATCATCATCATCATCGGGACACCGACGGGACACCGGCGGGACACCAGCGGGACACCGGCGGGACACCGCTGGCCACCGGACCTCGGAAAGGAATCATTTGTTCCGGCCGCACCTCAGCCGGAGGCGGGACACCGGCGGGACACCGCGGGCCACGGGCCCCCGGAAAGGAATCATTTGATTTGGCCGCGCCTCAGCCGGAAGAGACTTTCTTCTCGCCCGCCCATGCAGCTTCGTCTCGCCCGCACGCACGGCACGCACGAACACGAAACCGAAACCGAAACCGATTTCCCGGTAGGGGGGCTCTCCGTTCCACTTCGATCTCACCCATTCGGGGGGGGGAGGAACCAACGTCTCATTCGATCGGTCTCACTATCGATCTCATTATCGGTCTCGCTCGATCGATCTCACTCGATCGATCTCACAATCAATCTCTCTCGATTGATCTAACTCGATCGATCTCACAATCGATCTGACTATCGATCTCACATTCGATCTCACTATCGATCTCATTATCGGTCGCACTATCGATCTCACATTCAGTCTCACTATCGATCTCACTATCGATATCACAGTCGATCTCACAATCAACGTCATCATCATCAACATCATCCTCATCAACGTCATCAACGTCATCAACGTCATCATCATCATCATCATCATCATCATCATTATCATCATCATCATCATCATCATCATCATCATCATCATCATCATTATCATTGTCATTGTCATCATCATCATCATCATCATCATCATCATCATCATCATTATCATCATCATCATCATCATCATCATCATCATCGGGACACCGACGGGACACCGGCGGGACACCGGCGGGACACCGCGGGCCACCGGACCCCGGAAATGAATCATTTGGTCCGGCCGCGCCTCAGCCGGAGGCGGGACACCGGCGGGACACCGCGGGCCACGGGCCCCCGTAAAGGAATCATTTGGTCCGGCCGCGCCTCAGCCGGAGGAGACTTTCTTCTCGCCCTGCACGCAGCTTCGTCTCGCCCGCACGCACGGCACGCACGAACACGAAACCGAAACCGAAACCGATTTCCCGGTAGGGGGGCTCTCCGTTACACTTCGATCTCACCCCCTCACCTCCGACCTTCGGCCCCCAGTGGCAGGGTCCGCATTGTGGCGCCGCCCATTTCAGCACATCCTTACGAGGATCGTTGCCTCATGTGGGGGGGCTCCACGACGGCCTCAGTGGGCGCAGCCGCACGGCGGCGCTTTACATCTTGACGCACCCCTCACGATGATCGTGGCCCCATGAGGAGCTCCACCTGCGGCCCCGAGTGGCAGGGTCCGCATGGCGGCGCTGCCCAGTTCACTGCACCCTCACAAGAATCGTTGCCTCCTGTTGGGGCTCCACAGACGGCCTCACTGGGAGAGTTTGCGTGCGTAAGTCCACCCGTCTTGGCACACCTCTCACTCGAGCTCCAACGACGACACTGGTCGGAAAGCTTGCAGTGGCTTCCCCGTGCATTTCACTGTAGCCTCACCTGTTTCGGGCCCCGGAAGGAGCTGCACATGAGGCCCCAGTTGAAAGATGGCGCAAGCGTCCCCGCGTCCAATCCAGCACATCCAGCACACGGGCCGTGCACAGAGAGATCCATCACCAGCGTTGCACGAGGTTGCTAATGGCTGGGCATCGCCAGATCAAGTTTGGCTGTCTGCCGCCTCTCCTGGAGCCTCTTGGGGCCTCTCTTGGGACCTCTAGTGCGCTTCTTGGGCCTTGTGTGCACTTTTCGAGGCCTCTTGCGGGCCTCTCAGGCGCTTTTGGACGCCCGATGCGTTTTGGCACCAGCCCCGCTCCCCTCCAGACCTGCAAAGTCGACCCCCCCCCGCCAGTGGGCGGGGGAATGGGAGGGGCAATGATCTCACAGGCTGGTCGCCCGAAGGAGTCGGCAATTCTGGACGATCTTATTCTCCGAAACCTCCACAAGGATCATCCTTCACAGTAGGGAGAAGCTTCCCTTTGCCACCCTGGCTCAAGGATCCACCCGCTTCAGCACACCGTACACCTCGCGGATCTCCATAATAAGAAAAACAGCATGCTCGGAATTCAGGCATGTGCGGCCCGCACACACATCTTCATCATGGCCATCACGGTGCTCCTGCCGCTCCTCTCCTCCACCGCGTGATCTCCGTCCCTGTCCTTCCCTTCCCCCCGCTCTTCCCCCCTCTCACGCCCTCTCTCCCTCGCCCTCTCTCGCCCCCTCGCCCACCTCACGCTCTCCCCCGCTCTCGCCCCCTCACCTGCCATCAGATCCCTCACGCCATCTGCCTCCCCCCCCCTCTCGGTCGGCGCGGGACCCGCCCGCGCGATCACCCTCGACGACCGCACGCCTCCGCGGCTGACGCTGGCCACGGCCGCCGAGCCGACCGGCGCGGGGCCCGCCCGCGCCGTCGCCCTCGACGACCGCGCGGCTCCGCGGCTGGCGCCGGCCGCGGCCGCCGAGCTGCCCGGTCCCAGCGCGCTGGAGCCCGCGCCGCCGAGGCCTCCGCCGCGGCCGCTCGGCGCGCCCTCGCCGCCCGGGGCCAAGGCCACGGAGCTCCCGCGGGCGGCCGCGGAGGAGCGCCGGGCGCACGCGGGCGCCGGCGGGAGCCTCGGCGAGCTGCAGGTCCAGCGGACGGGCCAGTTTTCCACCACCGCTGCCATAGGCAGGACGGGAGGGAAGGGGAGGGTGGCGAGGTCCTCCTCCTCCTCGTCCTCCTCCTCGTCCTCCTCCTCGTCCTCCTCCTCGTCCTCCTCCTCCTCCTCCTCCTCCCCCTCCTCCTCCTCCGCCTCCTCCTCCTCCTCCTTCTCCTTCTCCTGCTCCTCCTCCTGCTCCTGCTCCTGCTCGTCCTCCTCCTCCTCCTTCTTCTCCTCCTCCTCCCCTCCTCCTCCTCCTCCTCCTCCTCCTCCTCCTCCTCCTCCCTCTGCTACCTAATTATGGCAGTGGTGGTGGACAATCGGCCCATCACCAGCTGGACCGGGTGCTGGGCCACCTCGGCGCCCTGGGGCCAGCGGACGGGCTCCAGGTCGGGGGCCACAAGTTCCCAGAGCCCCCCTCGGGTCAGGAACAAGATCACGAGGAAGGTTTGTCGCTCTTTTCGCATCCCTGGGCTCTTTTTGCTCGGGGCCGCCAAAAGCCGACTCGGGATGAACAATCAGTCTCGGGCAACAGGTCTGGACCTCTGGGGGTCGCGTCATGAAAAACAATGATGTCGGGGGTCTGGGAATCGAGTTTTGCTGGAAGTGCCGCTGGCCCAGGGTGCTCCCAAGAGTTCCAAGGAGGCCACCGAGGTCTCCAGAGAGCACCCTTCACGAGGCCCAGGGGGCCCCCAGGGGCTCAAAAACTGAGCGAAGAGGTGGGGTGGGCAGATTTAGCACCCCCCGAACAAAGGGTGCGTGGATTTCGTGTAGTCACGCTCGGGTGCGGTTTGCGATCGGCGCCGCTGGGGCTTGGGGGTAACCACGTTGCCCCTGTCGGGCCTCCTCGGGGCGCGGTGGAGCACCCCGTCGAGGGCCCTCGCGCGCGCCCCCGGTGGGCGGGTTGCAAGCCACATCCTTCGCAAGCCATATACCTGTCAGAGTCGCCGGCAAGGCCTCGCTCGTGCTGGCCTGCGTGCTGGGTTTCTGCGTGCTGGTGGCGGTCCTCCTCTGCGCCAGGCGGCTGGTCGACACCTCGTCGTCGGAGCCGCAGGGCGCGGGCTACAGCCGGCAGTGTGCCCAGGGCCCTTCCGACAGCGAGGGGTTGATCCCGAGGCGATCGGATGCGGTGCCGAGGTTGTCATGCGCGACGGGCGCGTCCAGGTCGCCGCGTACGCCACGTGGGCTCGACGTGACCGTTGCGGTCACTCGTAGTGTCTTTGAGGCTCCTGGCGCCTGATCCTATTGACCGCCTGATCGCATTGACTGCACGAAAGCATCAAAGCGAGAGGCAGTGCTTTTACGTGAATTGTGCCTCGTCGCGTCAAGCAAATGTTGCCGAAGGTTTGGGCAGTTGCTGTCCGCATCCGTTTCGGCCCTCTTTCCCTGTTGTCGGCCTCCCTCTCCTGTGTGAGTCTGCGGTCGCGGGGGTATTGTCTGGGTGAAGGGCCTGGCTAAAGGGCCTGGCGGGGGAGGGCCTGGGGGGGGCTGGAGGAGGCGACATGAACAGCTCCACCGCGCCCCTCATCGCATCCCCCTCCTAGGAAGGGAGGAAAGCAATCAAAGGAGGAGTTGGGACGGAGGAGGAAGGATGCGGATCTGTGTAATGTATAACCGTTCGATCCCTAGGGGGAGCGGCCGAGGTGCCCCTGACAAGCGTCGAACTTGAGGCCGTCTTGGGGACCTCTCAGGCCATTGCGTCGCGATCTTCAGCGGCTCGTGGGCCGTCTTGAAGCGTTGGAAGCCCGAAAAGGCGAGAACGCCCAAATCTTGAGAGATTCATGTTAGCCAGCGTGAACTCCAAACGTTGAGCTATGCGGTGTGAGCTAGCTGGTGAGAGCTGTGCAATGTAAGATAAATTCTGTATGCTACGCGGTGTGAGCACTGCGGTGTGAGCTGGCTATGCGGTGTACGATATGGTGTGCAAGTTATGCGGTGTAATACGTGTTGTGCGAGCTATGCGGCGTAAGCTCTGTGGTATGAGCTACGTAGTGCAAGCCATGCTGCAGTCTGTGTTGCAAGCCTTGTGGGGGGAGAAGCCGTGCGGTGTAAGATATCTGGTGTGGGAAATAGTGGTGTGAGCGGTGTGGTGTAAGCTACAGTCGGCCCTGATAAGTAGGTCGACCCTGCCAAATCAATGGTACCCTTGTGTCCTATGTCTCGCGACCAGTGCCCCCCATGTTCCTATGGCAATGTGGCCCTCGGACGGGTCTTGGGTCCTCTCGCGCGTCCTGTCCAATCAAGTCCGACTGTATGCTCTGTGATCTGCGGCTTGCATGGTGTGTAATCTATGCGGTATAAGCTACATGGCGTGAGCTGCTGTGGTACGGTGGGTTCGTGTCGTGTCGACCAGCGGCGACCCCGCCAGCGGCGTTCAACTTTGAACGCCGCGGGCGTCCCAGAATCGTGCGATGTGGAACGATTTGGACGTTCCGGAACCGGCCGATCGTTCAAGGCTGAACGATCTCCGCGGTGTCAGAAACCAACGCCGAAGTTGGCACGACACGAACCTATCGTAGGAGCCCCGAGGCGCCCACGAGCGGGCCCCGGGGGCTTTGGGGGGGGGGGGTCCATCGTGATTCGGGGCCCGTGGCTCGAAACTGACCCTTTGCTGGCGCAGTTTGGTCTTAATCCTGATAACCTCGAGCAGGCTGTCAGCGGGCGACGTGCCATTCTCGAGCTGCAGAGAGACAGAGCTCGAGACACTATAGTCACCTAGCTTCGCGCATCGCGCCCCGCGATGCGCGACCCGCGGTTATCGGGGCGCCCACGAGCGGGGAGCGCGGCGAAAGCTCCGGGGGCCAGCCCCGGCCCCCCGGGGGCGCCCACCGGGCGCCCACGAGCGGACACGGGGCGCGCCCCCGAGCGGGATCGCTGCGAAAGCCCGGGGGGCCTCGCCCACGGCACAGAGGCAGAAGTGGGAGTCATCCTCCTCCTCCTCCTCCTCCTCCTCCTCCTTCTCCTCCTCCTCCTCCTTCCCTCTCCGCCCTGCTTCTACCCTGACGCGTCGATTAGCGAAAACCCGGGGGGCTCGCCCCACGGCACAGAGGCAGAGACTGAGTCGGAGGTTGACAGACCTTCTACCCTGACGCGTCCATTGGCGAATTGGCCGTTTCCGGCTCGCGAGAGGGCGTCGCGGCCGTCATTTTTTGCGGGTCCAGGTCCGTCGGTCTTGGTCCTGGGCCGTGTTCACGAAAGGGTGGTTTGCTCAAGGGAGGCTTGTTCACCGCCGGCAATTGCACAGAGACAGAAGTGAGAACCATGGAGTGCAAGCACTGCTACATCTAAATGCGCGTGTCTATGCTTCCCTCCTGGGGGTCCTCCTGCGGCGTGTTGGGGGCCTCTTGGGCCGTCTTGACCCCACTTGTGCTGATTTGGAGGGCTGTTGTGCCGTGTCGGAGCCCTCTGGGATCATCTCGCTGGCCTATGGAGACCCTCGTCGCCCGTCTTGGCGCCCTCTGGCTTCTAGGAATATCACGCGGAGGCGCCTAGGGGCGCCCGGAACTCCGGGTTGTGGCTTAGATTTTTTCAGGTTGGAGGTCACAGATTAGAGATGAGTGAACAGAGCGTCGCGGATAGGAAGTGATCTACATACATAAGTGGCAGAACATATTTCAGTGGTTTGGTGATTGCGATTATGTAGAATTCTGGGGACTACGTTATGTGCAATGTTGAGAGATGTTAACACATACGGCCCATACGCACGGCATTACATTTGCACGCCGTGCGTATGAGTGTACCCATCGATCGTTGAAAGTAGGTACTTTAGGAATTCCAGATCCCCAATCTGCTTTATGCGTCTTCCTACTTTAAGCTTCGAGCGGTTTTACCCCTTCCCTCCTCTTCAGGGCGCGGGCGCAAGCCCAATCTGCTGACAGCGCCTTCCTACTTAATGCTTCTTCCTGCTTCTTCCGACCGAGGGGTACCTATACATAAACCTAACAGGACCTACCTGGTAATAAGAACGATTCGGAGTGTTGGTGAAGCGTTCGTTTTGCGATTGGGACCGCGTCAGGCATGTTATATATGTATGCATATATAGTCCATTCGCTCTCTTACACTTGTTACTGCTCCACGAGCAGTGCTTGCACTTGGAGGCCCTCGCTTGGTTCATTGGAGGCCTGGACATTGGTACCAACACCAGCACAGGGGGTTGCCTCCACATGGGGAAGATGCTCCTAGATTTCGGTGTTGGCGGTAATAGTTCGGTCACCTTGGAAGCCAGAATCTTACCACCATCACCGAGATCGGGATCGTCTTCCCTCGGTGGAGCCACACCGCCGATGTTGGTGTTGGTGTCAACCTCTAGGCCTGCGAGTTTTTCTAAGGAGCTGGATGGGTTTCCCAAGTTTTCGGCTGGTGCCCGGTTTGGTAGGGGCCCGTTGGCGCCTCTCGAAATATCAAGAAGGAACGAGTTTTGTGAGAAACAAAAATTGCCCTAAGTCTGCTTGCGCGTGCTCGTTTAGCTCTGAAGCCAACCACGTGTCTTCAGCCGTTCTATCGAGTCAGACCATGCGGGCCACTTGCGCGCGCGCGCGTGTCGAAAACGTTCAAGCATCAGGGGGGCCCACCAACTCTGCCAAACTATACCATGCGGGCCACGATTTCGACGCGCGTGCGTCCGCCGCCCGCGCACGTCGAAATCATTCCAGAACCATGTGTTCTGACCATGGTATCGCAGACGTGTCCCAAAGAAAAATCCAATGGTTTGTCAGCGAGGGCACGTCAGGGTGTCGGAATTGCCTCGGGCGCTCACCTTCTCAGCATAGGCATCAGCCCAATCGGCATCAGATTGGTCAGTGTCATTATTGCCACCTCCAGCGTCATCATTACCACCATCGGGATCATCATCGCCGCCGTCATCGTCGCCGTCATCGTCGATGTTGCCCCTCTTATCAGTCTTTTCTCCGCGTGGGCACCTAGCCATCATCATCACCAGCACCATCATTGCCATCAGCGTCAGTATCATCACCATCATTACCAAAATAAACATCAAGATCATCATCATCATCATCATCATCATCATCATACTCACCATCATCATAACCCTCATCATCGTCATCCTCATCACCATCATCGTCATCATCATCATCATCATCATCATCATCATCGCCAGCGTCGTCCTTGCCTCCCGACGTCGACGACGAATCCGACCTTGTACCCTGGGACAATTTCATTCGCAGGGCTACCCACGCCGCCTCAGACCTTGCGACGCGCGCACATTTGGAGCAACGGGTTGCAATCTTTCACAAGCGCAAATGGAGATGGGCTGGGCGAGTTGCTACACAACCACACCACAATTGGGCCCGATTGGCGGCGGCATCGGAAGCTGATATCCATGAACCCCGGGCAGCACGACGCCGACAAGGCGGGCAGCGAAAACAGTTGAGTTACGACATCACAGAATTTCTACATAAGGCTTTGGTTGGAAGCACACCCGGCACATGGCTAAATAGTGCTACAACTTCCAAATATTGGGCAGACCTCGAAGGCGACTTCTTGAAGCTCACACGCCTGTGACTGGGCTCTGGCCCGCCCGCGCCGCCCCTAAGGGGCCTGCTGGCCCGCCGGCCGTCGCACTAGCGCGTCTGCGTCTGCGTTTGCGTCCCGAGTATCATCAGTATAAGCTTCAGCACAATGGCCATCATCGTCGTCGACGTCGTCATCACCGTCGTCACCAACATCACCAGTGTAATCGTCATCGCCGCTGTCGCCGACCAGTTTAATTTTGACAACAGTTTGCGGTGGGTGAGTGGGATGTTTGCCCGAGCAGTGGGGTTGACGACCTCAAGATTTCCCACAAAAAAGGCACCGCGCATCTGACACCACATAGCTTGCACCACATAGCTTGCGCTTCAATGGCTAGACCACATGTCGAGCAACATGGACATTCCCCGTTTACACGAAAGCTAAATTTCCCTTTGCCCCCTGGGGTTATCGGGCCCCGGGGAAAGTGCAAACTACAGATTCACCCGCCTAATATTTCACTTTCCAGATGAAGTCACACCATCCCAGCCAGGCTGGAGATCGCACCCCCGTCCGTGTCCAATTCGCCTGACGAAGGACCCAAACATGTGCAGTTGCGAGTGCCGCATTGTGGGTACCGGTTTCGGTGGAGCTCCTATGGGGCCACGAAACTTGTGAGGGGTGCGGTGTAGCTCCCGATGGGGCCACGAAGCGCTGCCCTGGGCGAGGGAGACGCATGCGAACTGCGC